GCAGCGGACACAACTCCTACTGTACAAATATCCAGGCGTTTCTACCATAAAGGTCAATGGAAACACGAAACAAACAAATCGTCGGTCAAAACGGCCATGATCTATGATCCAGCGTAACTCGCATTCTGGCTGTGATGACGTCACGCGATCCGCGCATTAATGAGGCACCGCGTGGCGTACTGCCGTCACATCATCCCAAATATCGCGACCCATGCTCCAAGCACACACACACACACTGTACCTATGAGCCGGGTTGCTCACGTTGAGCTTTATGTGCTTAACCACAGCCACGCCCTCTGCCGCAGCGCTGTACCGCTCTGGCTGCCGCCCCCCCCCCCCCCTCCCCCCTCCAGGGGGCCGGGATGCACCGGCAGCGTCAGTGCTATCAGCGTCAGTGCCCACATCCGCGCCTCGGGGGGTGTCACCGCAAACAGCGCACTAACCGACGGCCGGTCAGGACGGCGGCGCTCGCCCGGCTCTAGAGATAGGGTTCGGCCGGTCGCTTCGAGCCAAGGCACCAGCCACCTTTTACCGCACAATGTCGTGTGGTATGTGATCTGTTAAAGAGCGTTAACGAAAGAAGACGCATAAAAGTTCACCCAGGATAACCTATGTTTTCGAGCAGCGGGCATCTGGCCGCAAACGCACGTGACTCCCGAACTCGCCTACTGTACAGGCACAATCAAGAAGACTCCGATTAACATGGAGGTGCGAGATCAGCATTTCCGTTTCTTGATCCAGGGTTGATATGAACAAAGTACAAAACTGGGGACAGCAGTGTTGAGAAGATGCATAAGAATATTTCCAGAGCCACAAGGGCATACTATATTGAAAATTAGGTTTCATTGAACGAACTGACATGTTGTACTGAGAACAAGCCAAATTCTTAATGAGCATCGTCGTAGCATGAACCAGCCACGGGACGCCAGCAAACCAGTTTGAGGTAGCAATAGACACCCCAGCACTCCCCATACGGACTCTCGTACCCCATACTCCCAGTACTCAGTACATACGGACGCAGTCCACTCGTAAAACAGAATTAATCTCACGTTTTTAGTGTACGCACCCTGTCAACCTTGGTAAAACTGGGCACAAGGTTGAGAAGCATCGCACTAACATCAAGCAACAATCAGTGTATTTCGTTTTGGTCACTCACTGATATCCTCAAGCAATGAAGGAGCACCAACTGGAGTGAAACCATGTTGTGCTGCACGTAAAGCAGACATTGGATTGGTTGAGATTTAAAAAAGTCGAGGTTATCCGGACCAAGTTTTTGACAACAGGTCTCCAAAGGTCTCGATGCCTCGAAAGCAACCACAAATTTTGGCCTTACGGAGATGTTCTGTGATTTGCGCATTTGATAAGCCGGCGTGCCTTGGCCACATGCCACTTTAAATACCACAAACGGTACAACAAAGTGCACAGTGTGACAGGTACGACTTCCACACACCCAATGGCTGCCGACGTGTTGCCATATCTCAGGCCTCATCTTTCACCAGTTATTGGCGACAGCATACCTCAGGACACCGACTGTTTTCAATGTTACTTTCACTCTCCGAAGCCAGCAGATTTTGCATGCCAACATACACTTAATACGCAAATTTAGCCGAAGCCTTCGGATACCCGGGCATCGCAGGGGTTCGACTGGGCCCGCACGAGCATACGCCCCTTCCCATCAAGGATTATTTACCAATAATACAATTTGAAACCATAAGATACCGCATAACATAAGGGACCACATATAAAAAACACAGAACATGAGCAAATATTTCTGGTGGTTGCCCATAGCTCGAGCCAGACCACCAATGCTGCAGCGGTTCACAGCCAGTACTCGCACGGGTAACCGGCCGTCTTTTTGCACGCCTTGCTGTCGAGCCCGCCACTCTTCGGCAGCATGACGCAGTCCTCCACGTCGCCGTGAAACCGGTGCGTCCCGGGCGTCATCCAGGCTGGCTTGATGACCACCGACGCGTCGCCGAAGCGTCCCGGTACACCTGCTGCTCGGCCCCATCATTGGTTCCCAGCCACTGGTGGCTGGGCAGCGGGAGGGCGTCCAGGAACGCCACCTGTTTGTCGGTGGTCGGGAAGGCCGGCACCGAGTGTGGGTCATCAGCGCTGCACAGCTCCACCAGCACGCTTCCGGTCGCCTCCGCCTTCCGGTCGTGCACGCCGTGCGCCACGCGGCCGCCCAGTAGCGGCACATGGCCGGAAGGGTAGATGATGATGATGATTTGGGCTTTGGGGCGCACCCACTACTTTGGTCATATGGCACCGCCGGAAGGGTAGGGCGGCTGGTGGAGAGGTTCGCCGCCGCCGGTCAGCGGGTTGAGCGGCGAGTGGAGTGGCCAGACGGCACTCGGCCGTCATCAGCTCTAGGCTCCACTTGAGACAGACGGGCCGGCGCATGCGGCCGGCGGTACACATCGGTGCCGAGGCGGCCCGCGGGCGAGCCACCGGCGGGCGCGCGTGCGCCACATCCCGCGCCACGTACAGCGCCTGCTGCTCAGCCAGCGCACCGGTGCCGGGGAGGCCCGCGGGCGAGCCAGCGATGCGCGCGCGTGCGCCACATCCCGCGCCACGTGCAGCGCCCGCTGCTCGCCCAGCGCACCGGTGCCAGGGAGGCCCGCGGGCGAGCCAGCGATACGCGCGCGTGCGCCACATCCCGCGCCACGTACAGCGCCTGCTGCTCGGCCAGCGCACCGGTACCGGGGAGGCCCGCGGGCGAGCCAGCGATGCGCGCGCGTGCGCCACGTCCCGCGCCACGTGCAGCGCCCGCTGCTCAGCCAGCGCACCGGTGCCGGGGAGGCCCGCGGGCGAGCCAGCGATGCGCGCGCGTGCGCCACGTCCCGCGCCACGTACGGCGCGTGCTGCTCAGCCAGCGCACCGGTGCCGAGGACGTCCGCGGGCGAGCCAGCCATGCGCGCGCGTGCGCCACGTCCCGCGCCACGTACGGCGCCCGCTGCTCGGCCAGCGCACCGGTGCCGAGGACGTCCGCGGGCGAGCCAGCGGTGCGCGCGTGCGCCACGTCCCGCGCCACGTGCAGAGCCCGCTGCTCGGCCAGCGCACCGGCGCCGAGGACGTCCGCGGGCGAGCCAGCGGTGCGCGCGTGCGCCACGTCTCGCGTCACGTACGGCGCCCGTTGTATGGCCAGCGCGCCGCCGCAGCTCATCATAAGCAGGGAGCGCCACATCTCGTCGCGCAAAGGGTAACGCGACTACTCCGCACGCGCGCCGCCTGTCTACGGCTGTATGGAAACCAACGAGAAGGCAGCGCAACATGGCTGCGCACAAAAATTGTATTGGGGTCGATGCCGAATTCAAGTACCACCAGAAACCAAGGGTTTGAACGATCCAAAAACAAGCTATTACAGCCAATAACAAGTATGAACGTCGAAATGAAGCCATGCTTGCCATACTATCCATTCGCAACCTGATGAATACGAAAGTGGAAAAGAGGGAGCTGATTCCGTTCTTGAACTAAATCACTAAATGTACCACGCCCATCGCGACTCATCACCGACAACTCATCAAGATGTGTTTGGCTAAATTGTGAAAAGAACGGTCCAAGACATTATTGGCCTTGAAATCAGCACTTTTGTAAAACATGACTAAAAGGAAATACATTTAAAGCCATTGAAGCAAGCATCAGATATAATGAAATAAGATCAGAATTAAGATGATATCCGTTCGACCATATTATTGATATTTGAGCTTTTTGATTCAGTGAGCAAGGTCAGTGACCGAAAATTCATGAAAAACATACACCTTACTTAACGAAACTCACGCATGTAATTATTGCAGATCATCGGGATTCCCTTCAATACTTATCATGCCTTACATTTCACAAGCACTGCACCATCTTAGAGAAATAAGGTTCCATAACCATTGGTATACTTTTAATTGGAAAAGACTGCTCTAGACAGCATAATTTATTTATTTAATAAATATGCTCCTTAGTACGGCATTGCCGAGGTCAGACAAAACTATGCTGACTGTGTCATCGTACCTAGCACACAAAGCATTGGGAGACAGTTGACGACCGTTATATCTGGAAAGCGTGAACGCGAGATGCGTAAGGGAATATTACGTTGCAACTGGCTGTGTGATTCATCAGTGTTCATTCAGGGATCTTGCCCAAAACAACTATGGTAATTTCTGGAAAAAAGCCGTTGACGAGGGTTCAAATGGTTTGATACCGCACCATGCAGTACGCCACAAAACCACGCCAGTAAACCAAACACCGCACCTGAAAGGCTGACAATAACGTCTGCACTTCTCAGCGCCGTCAACAGCTCTCCAGCCCTCCACCGGGCCCCAGCCCGGACCACGCCATCTCACTGCACCACAGTCGTGCCTCTGTGACCCCATACCACCCGCCCCGGCGTGCCTGGGCGGCGCAGCCGGCCCCCGAGCAGCACCTCTTCCCTGCCGGGCCCGCCCCAGCCGGGCTGCGGGCTCCGACACGGCGGACGTGGTCGGGCCGGGAGCTGACATCCGCGTAAAACACCGCCCCGGGAGCGGACGTCTCCGGACACCCGCCTATCGCCGACCGCCGAAACCGGCTTCCGCCGGCGTCGTCACGCCGCTCTCGGACACGCCGCGCCGGCGGCCGCTGCGGTCGAGGGGGCGATTGGGGTAGGGGGAGAGGGACCGGCGGCGTGCGTGCCACGTGGAACTGAACACGACTGAAGTACAGATCCATTGGTGTGGTGCTTCCGCGTCCGCGTGCTTTAATGTACCTAATCGCACCCAATGCAGGTTGTGAAGACGCTTGCCAGTGGCCCTCTCAGCTGTCACAGGCATATGTATCGCGGGTTGTCTGTGCGTGAGACTCACTCGCTCGCAGGGTGCACGTGAGGCGCACTCTCTCACCTATCACGGGCTGCCACTGTGTGCCGGGTGCCATGTCTGCCAGCGAGCTGACGGCGGCCGGGTAGCGCGTGTCTGGGTGTCTGTGCGTGAGACTCGCTCGCAGGGTGAACGTGAGGCGCACTCTCTCACCTATCACGGGCTGCCACTGTGTGCCGGGTGCCATGTCTGCCAGCGAGCTGACGGCGGCCGGGTAGCGCAGCAGCATCTTAGGTCCCACCACCACCAGCGGCTTGCGGAAGTCGCGCACCATCTGCCTGCGCAGCGCATGGAAGTACTGCGCCGGCGTGGTCGGGTTGATGATGTGCAGGTTCACATTGTCGCCTGTCCGGAGAGAGCGGCGGTTAGAGTCGGCGAACGGGTCTTGCAGAGCGAGCGCACGGCTTTCCCGCCCGCTCGGAAGGACGCGGCTTCCGCAGGAGACGTTACAACTCCGAGAAGTCTGGCGCTGCGTGATAGCGGCGGGGTCTCGCCTTCCTCCACAGATAGCCATGCTGAAGTCTCAGGCATGCGAACCGAGGGCGTAATCTCTTAGCGCTGGATATGCAGCAAAAAAAAAAACACCTCACTTGCGAAAGCTGAACACGTGAGCCGGTGAACAACTCCCCGGAACATATCGGGAGTGAGGGCCTAACTTCGGCTTTGCGCACCGTCAACAAACCCATCATGAACGTGGGCGTGAGTACCACATAGGCGCCTGACCCGGAGCGCTGAACCCGCCCGCGACCACCGGGCCACACCGACCGCCGCTGACACCAGGCCGCTGGTGAAAGCCTCACCGTCGACGGCGTCCTCCCTGGAGTCGGTGAGCTGGAGGAAGCGCTCCATGCGACAGCTTGAGTGCTCCGGTCCCGTGCCGTCCATCCCGTGCGGCAGCACCAGCGTCAGCGCCGTCTGGTACAGCCACTTGGCTGGGGAGAGAGGCTTGGCTCAACGCCAGCAGGGGCGGACCGGTGTGTCGAAGTCGGGTCCAGCCCAGAGCGGTGCTCACGCCGGGCCCAGAGCGACGTTCGGTCCGGCCCAGAGTGGCGTCCGGTCCAGCCCAGAGAGACGTCCTGTCCAGCCCAGAGAGACGTTCCGTCCGGCCCAGAGCAATGTCCCGTCCGGCCCAGAGCGACGTCCGATTCAGCCCAGAGCGACGTCCGGTTCGGCCCAGAGTGGCGTCCGGCCCAGCCTAAAGCGACGTCCCGTCCGGCCCAGAGCGACGTCCGGTCCAGCCCAGACCGGCGCTCGCGTCGGCTCAGGGCGATCGCGGGGTCAACACAGTTAGCACGGTCAGCACGGTCAGCACGGTCAGCACGGTCAGCAGTCAGCACGGTCAGCAGTCAGCACGGCCAGCACAGTCAGTACGGTTAGTACGGTCAGCACGGCCTGCACGGTCAGCACGGTCAGCAAGATCAGCACGGCGTGCTGTCCGTGAGCTGACCGTGCCTCAACACTGGCGCATCGCAACGAGTCATTCGAAGCGGGGCTAGGATCAGCAGACGGCGCTGGCCCCGGTCAGTTCCGTGAAAGTCGTGGTGTATGTGGCTTACTTCACTTATTACTTAACGGGGAGGCGAGGCAGATAGTGACAACTTTTTGGGTAGGCCATGTAAGAATTGGAAAGAATCAGTTCGATCTTCGACGCACCTCACATATAAACAGGTTTCATCCGTTACAGTTGACTTGATAACAGCCTTGTTCTGTTCCATGGATGCTAAATGCTACATTTAGCAATCAGTATGCTACAAGCTCCCACAATCGGAGCTTGGGAAGCACGCCTCAGCAGCGATCGGTCAAGCCAAGGTGACCTACTCAGTACTCTGCGGGAGCGGATAATGACGCAGGCTCTTGACATCAGTGACAGCATTCGTGTATTGCAGGCCTGTAATGCTCGTGTACTACGGGTGGGCTTTAGGAAACACCTACGTATGGTTTCCAATCGCATGTGTCATTGCCTGCTAACCATGACTGTACCCGAATACAGTCAGATTTGGGTTGGTCCTGCAATCGAGCCCGACACATATCGGACCCAAAAACAGGTCTGCCCAGTACCCCAAGTCCCACGCACCCGGACTCAAACACAGGTCTGCTCAGTACACCGAGTCCGACGCACCCGGACTCAAACACAGGTCTGCTCAGTACACCGAGTCCGACGCATCCCGGACTAAAGCACGGGTCCGCCCAGTATGCCGAGTCCGAGGCATCCCAGACTGACACATCCCGGACTAAAAACACAGGTCCGCCCAGCACGCCGAATTCGAGGCATCTGGACTCAAACACAGGTCTGCTCAGTACACCGAATACACCGAGTTCGATGCATCCCGAACTCACAGGCCCACCCAGCACGCCGAGTCCGACATATCTGGACCCAAACAGGTCTGCCGGCACACTGAGTCCAACGCATCCCGGACTCAGACACAGACCTGCCCTGCCCCATGTTGTTTCAATGATAGCGCAGTGTCTTGCGCGTCGCCAGGATAGTACGAGGGAAACGCTCCTTGTTGGCAGCTGAGGCGTGATGGTGCGAAAGATATACTCCCACTAAACAATGTCACAATGCATGAATTGAACTGTGGACTGTAGCAGCCCACGAAAAGGCCTCTTCGGCGAATTTGCGATTATTACCAGGACAAGTTGCAAGCGGACGAACACTACGTCAGGGGAAACGAACTCAGAAATAGTCAGCCCTGGCATTATAGTCAGCCCTGGCATTATAAATAGTCAGCCCTGGCATTATATCGCGTCCGGCAGGGCTGCAACGCTAAACACACATGGCAGCCGATGAGCCTATACTCCATACTATGCAGGCAACAGTCAAAACAGCGGTCATTTTCTGACTGCTGCCACGTCCTGGGCGCAGACAACAGACGCATGCACGGCGCACGTACACGACATGCCAGCACACTGCCGCCGTCGCAGCAGGGACCGGAGGGGCATATCATGTCTGAGCTGGCTGCTGAAGCCTGCGCCTCCCACGTGACCGTTGGACTAGGGCCGGGCGGCGACGCCACGTGAGCGCGGGCACCGGTGTCGCGCGGCCGGCCGAGGACAATGGGGGGCTCGGCACGCGCGCGGTCACGACCAGCACAAGAACACCACCCCCGCCCACCTGGCCCAACAATGCACTGCGCCTCGTCAGGGCTGTTGTTTAATGACAAGGCGAGCTATTGACTCTTCGTCACGCCCTAGCCACGGTGCAGGAATTTCGCCGCTCTGGGATGGATGTGTTTCAGCTATACAGCGTTGATCACAACAGATGGACACCTTGCTCTATCGTTCAATGCCACGGCTGATAAAAAGCTATTGCAGCTTGGCTGATCATAGTACTTAAGCATCACATAATGGTATTCTGATATGTTCAAAATACCTTTGTGCCACCGAATTCTTAACACGAGCTCGGGTGGGTGTCAAATTGACATCCTCGAAGGTTTTTTTTCCGAATTTTCCAAATTTTGGATGGCTGTACACAATTGAATGACGGATGGTCTGGCGTCAAACATTTAGATGTTCCTAGTAAGGTCGTTGCTCTATGTCAGGTCAGAGTCAGGCCACGGTTTCAGCGAAGGCAATTTATAGGGAATCGTTCAATCTGATCCAACAACGGAGTTTTAGACAAAGCCATACATCTCTGAGATGCTTTCATACGCAATACAACAATTGAATGAACAAACTACATCGACCTAGGGTCAGGTATGAAGGTCAGATCAAGGTTAAAACCAACGTGTTCCTTGCTCTCGGGCTTGCTATATAAGGTAGTTCCTGGTGCTCATTTTGAATTTACTGGGAACAGGAACCGCATTATACATCTTCCATGGACTTCTCAGATGTCAGAACATGTCATTGACCTAAAATGACCGATGTCAACATCGTTTTTTAACATACTGCTTAGCGTAATCTTTGTCGCTTATCCAAATGCAAAACTCAAAGCAGTCTGGTATGACTTCGGTCACCACGACCTTCAAAGGTCAAACAAGGTCACTGACATGAGCGTGTGACATTTGCTTAGAACAGTTATATAGATTAAAGGACACCAACCTGGAGTTTAACCTTGTTTGACCTTATTTGACCCGAAGGTCATAACCTGAGTCTCAAACTTTGACCTAAGTGAGTTCACGTACAGGTCAACATACTCTGTGAATTTGATGTCTCTAGCTCTCTTAGTTCCTGAAATCTCAGAGGGTCAAATTGACCACCGAGCAGAGCATCCAACCGGCCATCCGGGCGCGTGTTAAGACGAAATTAGTTTTCGGACCGCTAACTTCACTTGTATGGACCATTCAACATGGGTGTAACTACTAGAGAGCTGCGGGGGGGGGGGGCGGTGGCAACCTGAATCATGCATATCCCATAAATTATATATTATATTATTATGTATTTTAACACAAAACAACCGAGGAGTCCATTGAAAGTCATCAAAAATTGCATCCATTCTCTGAATTGGTTCGATTGTCATGACATAAAATCCAAAGCGTGGAGAGGGACAATCAAATCTCCGAGCGTTGCCTTGGCGTGAAATTTGGTGTGGAGCAAGCATGATGGTTATGGATCCAAGGAAATTATGGTGTTGACGTTGAATAATGTCCATAGCTTATGTAAACCTGATGTGCAGGCAAGCCGGGCCTACTGCACTGAAGCGCGTCGCTCGGTGGGCGGACCCCATATCAATTTCTTTCCTGACAGCATAAATAAACAACCAAAACAGATTGAACTGCAGCCGCTATCATAGCCCTCGAACCCAAACACCCTCGGCGTACAACAGCCAACCGCACACGATACACACACGATCACCGGACCTCCGATGCATCCGATCTCGCCTGGTGCCACGGACCGGACTCGCATAGCTGTTGACACGCCATTGGCGTCCCACACAAGGCGTCCATTTGGCGTCGTCACAGAAGGAAGACGGCCACCAACAACGGCCCGAGGCTGCCGAGAAGCGGAGGCGGACAGAGCCGGTTTACGCCGGTTCGCCGCCCGTGTCCGGGCGTCGGGCCGGGCGCAATGTGCGACTGATCAGCGCGGTCCGGTATTCGTGCCGCAGGTGCCACACGTGCCAACCACACGTGCCGCGGGGTGACAGGCATATCAGCGACTGCCCCCCTCCCCCGCCTCGGGCCGCGGCGGAGACCGGTCTCCGCACCGCCGGCGCGTCTCGCTCCGCTCCGCCGGCAGCTCCTACCTTCGCCGGAGGTGATCATCGTGTCGATGGGGATCTGGGCACCGTTGAAGAAGTCTCCGAACTGCGCCTCCCATATGCAGAGCCGGTGCGGCGACTCAACGCTGACGCCGTACTCGAACGCCAGCATGGCCTCCTCGGTGAGCGCGCTGTTCACCACCTATCGGCCGGGTCAAACGGATCACATGCGGCTCAGCCAGGCGCCACGCCGCGCGCGCAACATGCCCAGAGTTTACACGCCGTGACGCAAACTTGTGCCGTCACTGGTGGCTGAGAACCTGCGCAAGCGCGCCGACAGGGTGGTACGTCTGAAATGCGAGTGGAACACTGTCTGAATATTCGTGCGCGCACGAGTCGCAGCAGAACGAGAGCACACACATTGCGAAACGCTGCACCTGACAATAACATAACAGTTAGGTAGAAGTCGTTGGAGCAACAGGCGGTTGGGCACAGTAGGGACCTCGAGTTGCAGACCGTCAGGCTATCAAACAATGTCATGAACTTGATATTTCAGCTTTCTTTCTAGAGCCATCAGTTCAGACAGCGCGACAGGTTGTTACCACGAACGCGCTGGCTAGGGTACGCTGGCATGACCAAGTACACCTAGAACGGGCGCTACGTAAGGCAGTCGCATCGTCAGGAGGTACCTTCACCCTCAAATACGGTCCAATGGGTCCCACAATAAGCGCCTGGGCCTCAGGCGCCCACCGAACGCGTGGTCCCGCCGCGGCGCACCGCACCGACCTCTAAGAAGGTCGTCTGCTGCTCAGTCAGACTGTTGAGCGGCACGTGCACGTGGTCTGTCTTCTGATCCACCAGCATGACGTGCCGCTGCGAGAACGTACCGCGGCCCACGTCCTGGCCGCACAGGCGCACGTGGTTCCCTGCCGACACGTGCACGTGCGGCTTGTGAGACGCTCTATGGCCCACAGACGGCATTAGCAGCGCTAGGCGACGGAGCAGGGAACTCGTGGGAAGAGTGCGGTGCTTGCTGGTCACTGGCCAGGCTGTATACGCACCGAAGCCTGCACAACGTGGCACCTGCGGACGGATGTCCTTCCCATCCAGGCCAGGCAGGCAAACTTTGATCGGTCTCTAACAGCCACCGCCACAGAGCAAAAATCCGGCGAATCGAACGTGGTAAGGTATTGTGGTTGGCACTCGTGGGTCCGAGGCTTTACATTCCGCAGATATCCGCTTCTGCAGATGACAGTCGTGGAAGATTTGGACACACTTCGACGACTCTGGCCGCATCGAGTTTCCGGAAAGTACTGCAACAGGGCCAGCATTTCCGGACCTGCGTCTGATGCGGTTTCCGCCATCATCGCTCCAAATAAGCTCTGATCTTCACGGATATCTGGAGTAAGATGGTTTGCCAAAAGCATTCCTGCAGTCACAACTGATTCATAGCCTAAAGGATTTCCGAAACTATTATGCAACGACGACGTAAACTTTTCCAAGGAACTCAGCCGCGCAGCACAGCACATCAAAGCCAGAGCCTTGTCGGGTGCGTCATTCCCTTTCGTAGCAGCGAACACAGCGGGCCTAGCAGGGCACGGAACTCACCCTCATACAGCAGCGAGCCTAGAGCCAGAGCCTCGCAGGTGGCCCAGTCGAGCCCCTCTCCGGCGCGCAGCCGGTCCCGACGCGCCTTGACGAAAGACTTCTGCAGGTGAGGGTGCAGACTCTGCCGGTGCGTCCCAGTTACGGGTCAGGTGGCCGGGTCACAAGTCACGACAATCAGAGGTCAGGTCACAGACCGGCTGAGCTGAGAGGTCACAATACATGGAAGTCACGGGCCCAAAAAAGGGTCGCGGTCAAAATCAAGATGCACCCGAACAGGGCGGTGGTGTCACGGCAACGAGCAAATCTCATAATTTCCCAGAGATCTCCTCTGGAGATGAGCAGCCAGTGATGCTTGGCTGGGGCAATGTGCGGATAGTTGCTGCGGATACGCTGGGACGGCTAATAATCGCAAAATATAGTATGCAAAACGATTCTGGTGATGCTGATTGCAAATACGTACACGACGCGAGTGGCCGGCGTGGGAGCTGTCGCTTAGGAACAATCCCGTCTATGCTTCAACCACACGACGTAACGAGGCCCCACCTGGCTTTGAACCGATCCACACCAAATGTCCAGACCTAGCAGTTCAGGGGGGGGGGGGGGCCGCCACCCCACCACACGGCCCGAGCGGCCACTGGCCGTTGGCTGAGGCGACTCACGAAAGTGGTGGGCCACTCGACGCTCCTGCCGCCGATGTACTTGAGCAGCTGCACGTCGACGCCCGTATCCCAGCTGGTGAGCGCGGCCGGCGCCTGGCGCAGGCCCGACCACAGGCCCTCCAGGTGGTTCGCCTGGCAGGGGTGCGACGGGTCACACCGGGGTTCACCAGATGTGGTGTCCCCTTACCTATAAGGGTCGCATGCCCTCCCAGCCATTCGACCGCGGGGGTGCGGGCTGCGGCGCGTTAGTAATGGGACAGATGCGGTTGTAATGTGCTTCCCATTGAAGCGTTTATCAGCGGCGAGCACGTGAACCGAGAAGTTCAAATGATCGGCAGACCAGTTCGGCACAGTTGGCACCTGTTAGATGACGATGCTAGTCGTAATGGGCAGCGAACGCAGCTACCGAGCAATCGTACGAATGACGCCAAATAGCAATGCTGTACACGGCAATCGTGCCGTGGGCAGAGGGGAATTGAGGCATCTTTCGGCAAGCTTCTGAGAAACAATGCCAGGACTGACAAACATGTCTGCTTTTCATCAGCTAAAACAACACAATATCAACTTGAAGGTGCAATTAAATCGCGAGCCATATTCAGCTTCCAACGTTTCATCGTTTCCTGTTGTCATTTTGGTGAAACACAGGCACAACGCACGGCTACGACGGCGGGCCAGGTCACTCACCTTGGGCACGTGCGTGTCGACCTCGGCGAGCTCCTCGTTGAGCCAGTTGTAGCGCTTGGTTTGAATGTCTTCCACGTCCTTCAGCGTCATCAGGCCATCCTCCATCAACGAGTCGACGTAGCGGTCCGGCACGCTCCTGGGAAGGCGGCATCGCATCACTGACGGCGATAATACCCTCCATAGTCCGGCCGCTGCTGGGGAGGTAGCACCGCATCAGTGACGGCGATAATACCCTCCATAGTCCGGCCGCTGCTCGATAATACCCTCCATAGTCCGGCCGCTGCTGGGGAGGCGGCACCGCATCAGTGACGGCGATAATACCCTCCATAGTCCGGCCGCTGCTGGGGAGGTAGCACCGCATCAGTGACGGCGATAATACCCTCCATAGTCCGGCCGCTGCTGGGGAGGTGGCAGCGTATCAGTGACGGCGATAATACTCTCCATAGTCCGGCCGCTGCTGGGGAGGCGGCACCGCATCAGTGACGGCGATAATACTCTCCATAGTCCGGCCGCTGCTGGGGAGGCGGCACAGCATCAGTGACGGCGATAATACTCTCCATAGTCCGGCCGCTGCTGGGGAGGTGGCAGCGCATCAGTGACGGCGATAATACCCTCCATAGTCCGGCCGCTGCTGGGGAGGTGGCAGCGTATCAGTGACGGCGATAATACCCTCCATGGTCCGGCCGCTGCTGGGGAGGCGGCAGCGCATTAGTGATGGCTTCACAGTCTGGCCGCTGCCTCGGCCAGCAGCGCTGATGTGCGTGGATGAGGCTGCGAACCGTGGACCGGGTCAAACACGGAACAAAACGCGCGACGGCCACTGAGCGGACAGCCTGATGCAAATGGTTATATTTGACAGGTCTCAGTCATAAGCAAGACAGCTTTCAATAGAGCGGATTGTTCGTTCTGAGGGCGGTTCGCGTTGCTTTCCTTAGTCATTGACATCTCGCATGATCCGCTTACACGTTTTCTTCGCAAACATGGCCTAATAAAAAACAAGCACACAATGATGTTATGTAACAAAAGATAAACATTGCGAATGGGTTTCGAAATATATGTAACTTGGGACGCTTCGAACAACTTTCAGCACCTAAAAAAATGTTGCCATTTTAATGCATTCAAGCCGTTCTCCGCAACCACTCCACCTACCACTGTCTATCAGGCCTCAGTACGCGATATACATCAAGGAAGAGCTGAAAACGTTTTAGGGAACACTATTTCTGCGCTATTTCTCCAGCATCTCAACGTAAGCTGTCCGTCCCGGTGGCTCAGTTGGTTAGAGCGCCTGCCTCCCGATTCACCCACCCGTGGCGGAGTGGGTTCGAGTCGCTTTAGGCGCTCGCTATTTGCCCTTGACAGGTATGGCCTGCGGCCGGTGGCAGCGGTCGCACTAAAGGTCAGTTGACGTCAGAGGGCAGGACGGACCGTGCCGAGCATTGCGGCACGTTAAGCTTTCGCCACTAAATTCTGCCGTTGCCTGGAATTGCGCGATCGGATGGTAAGGGTCAGGGCTCACACAGCAAGCACTGCTTAGCGTGAGCGCTGATCCCAGAAATGCATCCATTCAAAGGGTTCGGATCAAATTTCTTTTTTAAAAAGCTAAGAACACGTCACGCATCACGCCTCCTGAACATAGCTTCCCACAACGTCCGACACCACAGCCCTCGGCGCGTCCGAGCCCCAGCCGTCACGCGGCAGTCACCGCGGCACCCCTCGCCTCGCGCCCGACCCGGGCACGGTCTGGCGGCGCGGCGGCGTCCCCACTCACACGCGGGTGTGGATGTTGCGGTACATGGCCGGGTTGGTGAGCGTGGGGTCGTCCAGCTCGTTGTGTCCCCAGCGGCGGAAGCAGACCAGGTCGACAAACACGTCACGGCGGAAGCGTTGCCGGTACTCGAACGCCATCCGGCAGGCACGCACCACCTCCTGGCAGGTCAGAGGTCACGGCTTCAGTGGCCCGCGGTCAGGAGGTGACGCGTCAGAGGGGCTGGCAAGCCAAGCAGAGTTCTGTGCCGTATATCGCAGGTGATACAGTTCTGAGGTCTTGGGTCCGTCATCGGAGGTCCCCATTGGGGTGGTCGGGAGTAAGAGGAGCGTGTCGAGGGGCACTGGCCTGAGGTCACGAGCAGATGGGACAGAACAGGTCACGGGCAGGAGGGGGTCGGTCACTTCTAACTGGCTAGAGGCGGGAGGCTCCAGACGCAGCCGGCACTTCTGAATACGCAAAGGTGGATGTCATGGCACGTCCCCAACGTGCCGTTCTGATCAAAATAAGACGGGTGCAACGGCCTTCTAGGAAAGGCTGTTAAGGGTCAATGCACGTGCAAGTGTCGATGCTCTGATCCTGCGACTGGCGAGCCACTGATTATCGATGAGCCCCGCGCAGCGTTCATGCAGATTCATTGAGAGCACCGGCATTCTACACACCAGGTTCCGGCACCTCCCGCGCTCACAGCTGCCAGCTTCAACGTGCACTTTGGATATTGTGGACCATTTAGCCTAAACAAAACAGCGGTGGGAGGGGCCAGTCCGCCTTTTTTAACGTTGGAATTCCTACGACATCAATTTGAGCTACACCCAACAGAAAGCTATTTTCCGTGATGTTTTACCACACGTACAATAGCTCAAATTCAAATGGCATGTGCAATCATTTCATTCCTAATAACAAATGACACAGCTTCAGGAGGTCTCCGATATTACGTAGATTGCTAAGTGCATTTGCGGGAAACATCGTGCATGTAGATAAGCCATCAGTAATAGCCTCATTCCTCGTGAAAAACCGGGAGAATGGTGAGATAGGTACGTTAGCATTTCGGCAACATATCTCAGACATACTAAGTCTTTGACCCATAAATTGCTCACCTCTGGGTAATCACCATTGACGCGGATCACTGGAGCGTCAACCAGCTTAGCAATGTCCGTGCAGTACGTAGATGACCTCCCCCTGGCCTCCGGAGTGGTATAGCCCAGCTGGTTGTTGATGGCCAAATGGATGGAGCCACCTATCCTGGTGTGGGGGAGATCAGAGATAGCCAGAGGCCTCCTGAATGATTCCCTGAGCGGACATGGCAGCGTCCCCGTGGATCTGAAACAGCCGTCAATGGAGCGCCCATTACCAAATGTGCACACACCCTTTAGTGCCTGATAAGCACAACAAATAATTCGTGTTCAGAACGTCAGTAATCCACTCGCACTGCAAGAATAAACCGGCAAGGCCGTCAAGCAAATGGTCCCTTATTGAATATTATGCCCTTATCCCAAGACAGATCTGCTACCATGGATACACGCACAATACCAGTTCAGTGTAAAAACGGAAAACATGAGACTCCTTGCAGGCAGGAGACATGTTTTACTGGACATGACAGGCTTTGGTGTGTCCAGATGGAGATAAAGACAGCGTGGTCCGATCATACGCACGAAATGCCCTCAAACATTGGGGACATGGCAGCTCATACGTCAGGAGCTCGACAGAATCAGACACGTTCTTGCCAATAGCAAGTACAGTCTCGCTGATGTAGACGACCAGATCCACCGGCAGCTTCACAAACGCTTCCATCCCACGATCAACAAACACGTGACCAACTAGTAAGCACTGACGTTCAACTGCATTACCAGAGCAGGATGTCAGCTGCATGCAAGGCTGAAGAGAAAGCTCTTCGCGATACTTCAGCAGGAATCTGCCTCCCAGGAAATCCCAAAACATCAGGCTCTGACCACAAAAGTCTCGGCATATCAAAACTAATAATGAAACCAGCCGCCCTCAAATAACTCCCCACTAGAGATGACCAACGCCGTCTACTAGTTCAAATGTCCCATCGGCGACTGGGCGCGTCGACCAAGCTCGTACAACGGTCATACTGCGACCACACCATCAATACAGACGATGATACGCCTCTAGGACCGTGCGCCAAGGCGGTATGTGACGTTAGCTCATGGAACGACATTATTTCTAAAGGAATTGGTAGAAAATGCCACCATACTGGCTAAGCGCACAAAAAAGCGAAACTGACAGTACTGGAGCTTGCTTAGGTCCGGGACAAATATCCCGCAGCCAACCGGCAGATGAATACGCTGGACGACCTGTGGTCGTGGGATGAACAGCCTCCGGCACCTAAAAATATGCTGCAAAATGGGGGGGGGGGGGGGGGCGACAAAGCTGGGTTAAGACTCTGCCAGTGTCCGTCATGATCCGAGGCACCGGCTAGCGGTACATGTGTGACAGCGGCTATTTCATAAAACAAAATGACCTATTTTGAGCACGGCAAATGCACGAATATAGCTTTGAACCAACTCGAGCGCAAATGTTTTGTATATTGTTGTCATGCGTTATTGTGTCTATGTTGTCTGATGTTCCTGGCACGACCAATGAAACGCTGCAAAGTAAAACAGGCACCCTTTCTGAACAGTTTTTTCTGATGATGGGAAACGATTCATTCGGAGAACTGGATCATTATCTGAGAAGAAACTCGAGGTCGGATGTTATCATTTCCAATGAAGCGCTATGAGTAAACATATCACATGAATGAGCCATATGGCTCCCCGCACCACCCTCTACCTGACCGGTCCGGCGCTCGCGGCGTCGTCCGACACATTGACCTGGACGCAGAGGGAGCGGTCGCCGGCGGCGCCGCCCGACACACTGACCTGGGCGCAGAGGGAGCGGTCGCCGGCGGCGCCGCCCAACACACTGACCTGGACGCAGAGGGAGCGGTCGCCGGCGGCGCCGCCCGACACACTGACCTGGACGCACAGGGAGCGGTCGCCGGCGGCGTCGCCCGACACACTGACCTGGACGCAGAGGGAGCGGTCGCCGGCGGCGCCGCCCGACACACTGACCTGGACGCACAGGGAGCGGTCGCCGGCGGCGTCGCCCGACACACTGACCTGGACGCAGAGGGAGCGGTCGCCGGCGGCGTCGCCCGACACACTGACCTGGACGCAGAGGCAGCGGTCGCCGGCGGCGCCGCCCGACACACTGACCTGGAGGCAGAGGGAGCGGTCGCCGGCGGCGTCGCCCGGGTGGCTCGAGTAGTCGCCTTCGCCGGCGGTCTGCTCGCGACCACGGACGCGGCCCATCGCCACCGGGTTCACCGCCTGAGGACGGACCAGTCGACGCTGGGGCTGAGTCGGGCCGGGGCGGACGGACGCCAGGCGGCGGAGCGGGACGCGCGGTCACGCCAGCAAGGCGCGGCACGACGGGGTCGGCGCCGCCGGCAGGGGCATCTCACACAGACTGAGGGTCGGCGCCGCCGGCAGGGGCATCTCACACAGACTGAGGGTCGGCCGCCGGCAGGGTATCTCACACAGACTGAGGGTCGGCCCCGCCGGCAGGGCATCTCACACAGACTGAGGGTCGGCGCCGCTGGCAGGGGCATCTCACACAGACTGAGGGTCGGCGCCGCCGGCAGGGGCATCTCACACAGACTGAGGGTCGGCCCCGCCGGCAGGGCATCTCACACAGACTGAGGGTCGGCGCCGCCGGCAGGGGCATCTCACACAGACTGAGGGTCGGCCCCGCCGGCAGGGGCATCTCACACAGACTGAGGGTCGGCGCCGCCGGCAGGGGCATCTCACACAGACTGAGGGTCGGCCCCGCCGGCAGGGCATCTCACACAGACTGAGGGTCGGCGCCGCCGGCAGGGGCATCTCACACAGACTGAGGGTCGGCCCCGCCGCAGGGGCATCACACAGACTGAGGGTCGGCGCCGCCGGCAGGGCATCTCACACAGACTGAGGGTCGGCCCTGACAGCAGGGGCCATCTCACACGGCACTGAGGGGTCCAGCCGCCCCCGGCAGGGGCATCTCACCACAGACTGAGGGTCGGCCCCGACAGCAGGGGCATCTCACACAGACTGAGGGGCGGCCCCGCCGCAGGGGCATCTCACATCAGACTGAGGGTCGGGCCCTGACATGCAGGGGCATCTCACACAGACTGAGGGTCGGCCCCGACGGCAGGGGCATCTCACACAAACTGAGGGTCGGCCCCGACGGCAGGGCCTGCGCGGAGACCAAGTGGATCTACGAGACGTCCCCGCCGCCGGCGGTGTTCCGGGGCGCTGTGCGGAGGCCGCGGCCCACACCGGTGAGACCCCTCCGATGAGAATAAACAGCGGCAGTCTATACCGGTGAGAACCTTCGGGAGAGAATACACAGCGGGAGACGCGCTGGCCAGCCGACTGACCTCGAGGTGGGAGGGGTTCGACAGCAGCACGGCGTGGATCGTCTTGCCCTCGATCTCCAGATCCACGTTCCTGTCTGGGGGACACGCGGTGCCCGTGACAGTCGCGAGTTGGTAGCACGTACAACAGATCCACCCCACATCCAATCCACGCTTCAAGCGAAAGGCATGCAGAACACAGAGCACAAAAGTCGGATAATGTATCCCACCTTTTGATAAAGGTGCTGGCACTTGCGCGCACTGACAAGGGCAAGTATCTTACACTGGTGCTAATGATGCGCATTGGCTGGTCATGCCCACGTGTTTCAGGGTAGGTACAAACAGACTGGGGTGCTGTTCAAGTGGCTTGTGGTTCAAGTGGCTGGGGTGCTGTTCAAGTGGCTTCAACGACCATGGCTTGGATCAGCACTGATGCCGGTAATCGGCGTCTGTACACAGCAGCCATCAGCATCACGGAAGTGCTGCATAGGGACTGCACGGGAATGCACGGGAACTGCAGCTTTACGAAGCCGAAGTTCACTCCATTCCCATGCCTGAAAGTGACATCATTGACTTATTCTGAAAACGAATGCGTCACGGGACAATAGTCGGTTATTTACCAGACCACAGGTTTTCACGCCTGTCCAAAAACAAGCCTCAAGCCAGCAAAAAACTTCCGGATGTGGGGGGGGGGGGGGGGGGAGAGAGATACCGCCCGCTGGTGCTCGAGCGCACGGCTTCCACCGCCTGCGTGAGCCGCCGCCGACGTCGCCACTCACTGAGGTGAGAGAGCACGTCACCGATGCCCTGGACGCCATCCGGGAACTCGCACATGCCGCGCATCTTCTGGAACATCTGGACGGGCGGGTACTGCAGCAGGTCGGTGAGCAGGTTGAGTCGGCCGCGGTGCGCCATGCCCATCACAACCTCCCTCAGGTCAGCTGCCGGGAGACGCGGCAGTGACGACAGGAGGGTCGGGTCCTCACCGCCCACCACACCGGCCACACGCGTCCGCCACTCACGCCCGCCGCGCAGAGACCGGGGCAGCGATCGCAAGCACTCAAGTCGGCACAAGCACGAAGTACAAAATTGTGATGCATTGCAGTGAACCGATGCATTTCAGCGAAGTAAATGACAACGGAGTATCTGCAATGCATTTCGTGGCCGATGAATTCGAACCGGCAATCACATCTTGGTGTCCGCTTAACATACGCTCTACGCGGGATGACGGAAAATGGTGGCAACGAGTGCTTGCGAGATTGCTTCGCTAAGCGACCGCGCGTCGCGGACAATTTGTTTGCATTATTTTGGGGTGCAATCAACACCATTCATAAGAATCGCAGACAGATCCAAATTATGGCTGCCAGGATGCCTAGAGGGAGCCGGGTGTGGTGAGCTGACTATCAGGGACGTTCAAACCTTGCTCTTTAGATGCTCGCTGAGGTTGGAGCATTGGCACATATTCCAAAGGTTCAAGAAAACCGCACTTGCTACCACTGCAAATGCCAGATCTCCCTAATTACGTCAATTCCGCTTGTCAATGCTGCAATGCTTTTGTGTTGCCGGACTCCAAAACTAAGCGACTCCAAAACACACCCTGCGAAGCCCATGTGGGTGCTGCTTTGCCGTAGCAGTGAGCTTCGCTGAAAATGTACTGCGTTTCGTGGGTCCTCTTGCAGTACCCGTTGCAAATTATTTCTCACTTGATATGTGTGGTTTCTTTGGCTTTCCACAAAGCAAGGAGTTCGGGTAATGTCTTTGACCGTCACTATGGCTCATCTTTCTCGCCACGATTGAAAAAATGAATGAATGAATGACGACTGCCGGACGCCGGCAACACACGGCGCGTACGCGTTTAGTAAATTTGCTTAAAGCACTGGCCGCCGATGACTGGGCGATCAACCGGTGGATTTTGACGACGCGAAAATGTGGAGTTGCGACTGCTTAGGTAAAACTGATGTCTGGGCGCAACAGTGGCCATGACAAATAGATGGGCGGTTATTACGGACAATGAATCGGTGCATGCCGTGATGATAATGTCGCCAAGACTTTGAGTACAGTTTCGGCAACAGCGTGCTGTATTCTGCACCCTTGATCGTAATGCCGACATTTCCCGCTTGCCTGATGCTTATCGGCGCATCCGAGCGTCGCCCATGTTCGTGTTGGACGGATGAACTGCAGACGGTACGCCTGTCGACGCTCTGAAATTCGATTCGCGCCTCCACCCGCTCTGGCTGCCGAGCTATGGTATAAAACGTGAAAACCCGTAAAAGCCGGGTAAATCCATCTCGGCCGCTGCTATGCACGTGGCTCATGGCGTGTAGGACCACACGTCTGCAATCATGCGATGCCTCGTCCAATTATCAACCTAAGCGTGTCAATTTCTTGTCGCTCCAACCCCCGATTGCCGAGATGTGACCACAATTCTGAACGGCTGCTCGTCGGCTTTGTCGCGGGCCACATTTCAGGCCATCCGCGCCGAACCGATGGGCCAAAAACGGTCCTTCTGACACGTGCCGCGCCCGAACCTCAGACCGTCACAACAAAGCATCACAAGTGGGAATACAGGTCAAACAAGATCATGTCATGATGTCATTACCCAGCAGCATACAAGACAATTTGTGAGATAGATCATTACATTTTTGTTTTCAACACGGTATACATGCTATTCTCTGTCGAAACCCCAGTACCTGCCAGATGCCAGCAAACCATTATAGCCAGAATCAGACTTGTGAATGTCAACCACGGAGCAATACCAACAATGATAGACACGGACGCAATGTGCACAAAACAGTTGGTACACATGACGCAATATGCACAAAAGAGTTAGTACACATGACATTAGCATGCGCAGCAGGTGCCACTGCGAGCTGGCCTGGCCCGGGCGGGTTGTTTGCACATGTCCCCTGACGCGGCAGTCCTCGGACCATCGTAATACCACGAACCAGACGGCAATGACGCGCAACAAGACACGACGGCAGCGGCCAGAGCCGCACACCGCCAAAGGTGGGACGCATGCGCACTAGCGGCGGGTGCGCCACGTGGATGGAACAGGGCGACCAAACGGCACGCGCCAGCAGGAGGGGTAAGGGGGGGGGAGAGGGCCGGCAAGACAGACCGCAGCACCACCCACAGCCCAGGCGGCTAGAGGCAGTCAACTGCTATCAGTGCGTGTGACGCGGATACAATCGCGGCCAGGCAGCCAACGTAGCGCATAAACGCGAGGGCTGCCCAGAGGCGAGGGAGACAGCTGTGACCGCGAACAACACTACAGCTGACACGGACCTGCTCAGTAGCGTTGGCGGACTGGGTAGTGTTGGCGGACTGGTGTAGTTGGATAGAAAATGTATCCACAGGTCAGTTGGTCATTGGGACTTCTGGGGCATTCCAGCTATGACGTCACATAGCGTGCAATGTAATCACAGGGAGGGGGAGCTAAGGACGCCACTGACACCCGCTGCCAACGCCGCCGCAGCGCTGGCGGCCGGGGTTGGCAGACTGCAGTGAACGGGCGGGGTAAGAAGCGGAAGGTGGCGACACGGCAGGCGACACTAGCGCCGTACGCACCCCTGGCGGCCAGCATCAGCAGCTCGGCGAGGAAGGCGCCGGTGGCCTCCGCGCCCTCTCCGCCGTACCGTTTGACGGTGGCGAACTTCACCGCCAGGAACTTGTCGAGCACCTGCGAGTGTAGCAGCGTCTCGGCTAGCCGGAGTCGCTCCTCTGGAGCCAGCTGCTCCGAGCTGGCCCACTCCAAACGCTCGGCCAGCCACTCCTGCTCCTCTGCACTCTGGGGGAGGCCACCAGGAGGTCCTCAGTCGCTGAGGGTACGGCCAGGCCCGGACGCTTCCAACAGGCATTATAGCATGTCACTGCTAACCACTTGCAGCGTGTTTGACAGCATTTCAGGACTTCGCAAAGCTCATGCACTTCCTTTCAACCTAGGCCCATGCACTTCCTCTCAACCTAGGTCCATGCACTTCCTCTCAACCTAGGTCCATGCACTTCCTCTCAACCTAGGTACATGACATACTCGCACCAACAACGTCCTCCTTCTCGTGAGTTTATTACTGTTTTCCACATCTAAGTCTGATTGCTTCGCACTGTACCCTCTCCCCTTTCCTTGGGCGTCCCGTCTCCACATCGCCCGCCCGCCGCCGGCCTCCTCACCGAGACGTGTGCGAACTGGGCCGAGAGCCGGCCGCAGTAGACAGTACGCAGGAGGTCCACCAGCTGACCGACGGTGGTGACGTCAGCGCAGCCGGTCACCAGGCCGGCAGGCGAGACGGGGTCCGACTCGGCCAGGCAGAACAGGCCCAGGTCCAGCTCTGGCAGCCACCTGCCGACGCCGCGCGGCAAGGGCGCGTGTCACCAGGCCGCGGAAGGCTCATCCCCATGCGTGGGATCGTTTGGAAGACATGTCGCATGGTGGTTAGTGCATTCAGACCAACGGACCTATGTACCGTATTATCTCACCGCATATCGACCGCAAGCGCGGTGTGCTGATCTCTCCACTTTGTCCCTCATTCAGCACTCTGTTAACGAGGTTGATAAAACACTTCTCCGGAATCCGCCGACTGCAGCTGATTGGCCAGCCGATGACCGGCCGACTGGCGTCGGCCTGTCATCATCTTACAACCTCCGGCCGGACGGTCGCAAGGAGACACCAGTGGCAGTCAAAACCAAGAGCGCGACAGCCGCCGGCGCCGGGCCGACGCGGTGACTGACTTGACTTCTCGGGGCGCCAGCGGGTTATAGTCGGCCACCTTGTGGCCGTGGCTGCGGTAGGCCTCCACCAGCCGGTACACGGCCGCCTGCTGTGCTCTTGACTGCAATGTCTCCGTGGACACTGCAAACAGGAAAAAAAAACAAAAAGTCTCAGGGCAAGCACAGGGACCATGCCACAGTTACTTACATGCTACTGATGGTGATAGTGCTACAATGAGATGTTGCAGCAGTTTCGATGTTTTATGCCCACTGGACTGTCCAGCATTGTCACAATACCCACTATGCATGAGTATGCGTGGTATAGGTGGCACCACTTGACCAGTCTTGTGCACAGCCCATATTATGATGCAACAGGTGATGTAACACTACCTTGGAATCTGCTTGCTTTGGGGGGCTTGTAGCCATAGACACCATCATTGGCATGGTAATGGCGATTCTGTGTAGCTGCCTGTTTCACTGGCAGCAGCTGCTGCTGTCTGACTGGCTGCCAAGTCTGCAGGAGCTGTTGCCGACCAGTCAGTTGCCACTGCACACACCTTGCACAGCTGATGGTGTGCCATATCTTGTGCATTGTCTGCAGAAAACCGGTAGCATCAAATACAGTATCAACTGGTCACAACCCACAAAATCCCAGGAAAACATTTCTTCTGTCAAAGCTTGCAACCAATGATCAATGAGCAACATAATGTCTGAATCTTGTGCATCATCTTCAGGTATCAAAATATCCTATATTTTTGAAAGAGCCACCCATGCTGCTCAACATATAATCCACACATGCCACAGACTCTAGAGGTCAAATGATGCACACATCACTTTCAAGTAAACACAGCATTTCCACCACAATTGCAAACCACCATAAAATATTCAGGGTACAAAATTCCTGCCTCAGGACAGGAGTCAAGAGAAGGACAAACTATCAAGCATGAAAATTAATGAGGCATGTAACAGATTTGTTCCATGCTGATACTTGCTTTTGGCTTATATGAGCATAATAAAATATTAACATGATAATATTTCACCAAATATTGTAACTAAACCAATCCAATCTGGATAATATAACAGTTGCCCAATCCCATCACACATATATAAAGACTGCAAAAATGTGTCAGATGCACAGTATATTGCTGATTTCATAGTCCAGTGGCACTGATCATTGCTCTTTGTAATGTTCTGGAAGTGCAAATGGCATAAATAGATATGCATGCATTAACTATTGAACACTGTTTTGTGATAATAAGTTATCATATAGTTATAAATAAAGTCTCCATTTCTGTCTCAAATGATTACAACTAAGAGAACAAATGACTGGTTACACATAACTGCCAAGCCAGTAGCTTATCCAATTACAAGCTAGCATGAAACATAAATTTGGAGATGAAAAGTACATGAATTAAGTGAATGTAGACCTGAATATGGCATTCTGTACTGCACTCAGCCCAGCATGCATACTTTCAGAAACAGGTTTAAATAGATTTAACAAATTCTGAAATACATATAAATCATGCAAAGCATTGCTAGTCATTTTATAATACAACACTACTTAGAACTTAATCATAACTGATCAGATCAGGCAAGGATATCAAAATTGCACATCTAAATAATCACAGCGGGAGCCATGCATGTCCTCTCCTACCTACTTTCTCCTAGCCAACGGAAACTAAAAAGTGTAATGACCCATCAGATCAGTCAAAACTACCAAAATTGCATGCTTCAATCCTTAGAACAGGAGCAAGAGTGCTACATGCCCAGACATAACCAATGTCAACTAAAAACTTCAGATAAATCTTAAATTTCTTGCTTATAGATAAGACTGTAGTAACAGCCTGATTCCTCATGGGAAAAACAGGAGAATAAGATAGAGATGTGTTGATATTTCAGCACCCTGCCTTTATTTAAACAGAAAGCAGAAGCACATAAATGATTTACCACTGCTATTTAAGGAACAGGGCTACTACTACTATCCGACCTATATGCACAATGTTCCCTCATAAATGCACTTTACAACTTGCACTTTATTGCTTGTTGCACCAGCCCCAAACTGAACATGTACAAAATGAATCATCTAGCTGGTTTGGTTGACAACCAGCACAAACTGATAAAATGTATTACTGTTGTTGAAATGGTCAGTGTAAATTCCAGCTACTGTTTGACCTGAACTGATGACTAGAATAGTCAGGACACCTTGGCTACTGGTGTAAATTACCTATCAGTAGGAACAAGGAAAAAGTGCCTGCACCTGACAGGCACAATGTGGCTGCAATATTCGTCATTATTAGGATAAAATTACATGTCAAGTATGCTTGAGTTAAGATAACAAGATAACCAGAAATTAATTTGTCTAGCGGGAACCCGTCCTACCTAGTGCCACCGTGATACGCAATGCACATATAACGGAGAGGAACGCACAGCCGGTTCGAGGCCAGCCTGAACGCGAAGCAGGGAAACCTAGGATTTCACTTGGCAAAACAACGTGACGTTTCGAGGGAGTAAGGACCGGCACAAGTGGGCGGCAGCTGAAAAAACAGGTGACAAATATGGCGCATTTGTTTCAAAAACAAGGAAGCGACACAACTAATCTGTTAAAAGGACGTAAATCACACTAGCAAGAGTGTCGACTTGTATTGCTTTAGCGTGAGCCACTGACTTCCCCACATGTCCAATTTGTCACAAACAGCGAATTCGTTCCCCCCAACCTTCTGGAGTTTAATGCAATTAAGAAATAGGAAATGAGTTCACAAAATGAGATCGATTTGAAGGAAAGTTTCTCTCAGTTGTTTCAAAGGTAAGAGGAACACAGCAATTGAAAACTGCGACGTCATGTGTAGTAAAGTGCGGCTGACTGAACTAGTCTAACTTTTAAAGCTCCTCGCTCGTTCCGTGCTTCTTAAAGTATTATCTGTTTTCCTGCATGCTGCGCGCTTTTAGCGATGATATTGAAATATGTTGTTGACTCGTATCTAGCTTCGTGCTGTTGCCTAAGGCATTACTCAGCGATGTTTCAAGTCCTACAGACTGCAGCAGGTCACATTATTTTATGATGACGTCTTATCTGAAGATGAAAACAAACCAGTCCATTGTTAGCACCCCAAAAAGTGTTCACGTTCTCAGCCGTCTACGTTTGGATGAAGCTTTCAAGTATGCCGACCTTCACTTCAACGTTATTATTCGGCGGAGCAGTTACGAAAACCTGGTGATAGGCACCAGCCGAGTAAATTGATAGCGCAGGGACATCAGTTTTTGTGAATTTTGGGGGGATGAACGGAAGGCCTGACAAACCGCCCCTACCCCATTTTTGCTCATCGGATTTAGCCCAGTTCATCTTCATGAAAGGCAAAATATGCTTTTTAAGTTGTGTATAGTTTATGAAAGGACTTTAATTTAAGCAGCATAGTGTTCAGTGAATACTATAGTCGCGTGATTTGTCCAGATTTGCATGCCTGGACGTACTTTGGATACCGATCTGAAGTCTGACTTTATTTGGTTCGGCGTTCAGTAGGTATTTTAATCTAGTCTACCTCAAAATTTCACACAACCTATCTCATACACAGGCCTTTCTACCCTGTAAATTGAGTGTCTCTGGTTCTCTTGTTTTTTATCTCAGTGGTCAAACTGACCTCCCTATGGGCGCGTCGCAATCAAACAGTCATCCGTGCGCGTTTTAAATTGTGCGTTTGAGGTGCGCGTAAATGTCCATGAAATGAATGTATGTCCGTATTTCGTAGGATATTTTAATCTCATGCAGGCCAGCTCTCCCCCAGCATTACAAAGAAATAACAGATCATTCTACAAAATAAGCTCCACTTAGATACGTACGGCTGGGCATTATTTAATGCCAAAACTTTCTGTTGCGCACGACAATGCACTTCTCATTTGCCGTCTGAAAGCTTCATTTGCGCCGAAATCTGTGAATTCCCTGGAAATCGCAATTGAATGCAGCTAAACATTTGAAAATACAATGACAAAAGTAGTCTTAATGAAACTATAATTTCCTGTCTTTTTGCCCGTAAAAAGTGTCGGGCAAGTGTAAGCGTAAAGATGTATAACAACAGTACACACGTGTTTGTTAATGGTGGCATGCATCAATCCGAGTTCAACCGTCCATGGCCAATTTCTAGGTCACAGGTGATATCTTTCGGAGAAAAGTTAGTGAAGTGGCAGCTAACATGCCCTGCCTTTCAACGAACCCTTTAGCTACACCCCGCAAAATGCTGGAAAAAAAAGAACTATACTGCCGCGAAGACACACCAATCGACATTGCGGAAGCCCAACTCTGGTAGAGCTGAGATGAACTGAAGTTATGCTAACCACATCAGTAATGTGGGGAAACGCGTGGTGGAGCGTTCATCTTGCAAGGCAAGCATTCGTATCTGGCTCGCTGAAGAGGGCCATTTGGCTGCTGGCGTGACAGCGTCAGCATGATCACAGGGCGCCGAGAGTCGTGTAATTGTATGACGCGGTTAAGTCTCTTTCGTGCAATTTCGACAAGGGCCCGAGTCAGAATGGGTCCACTAAACATTTATTATAATGATGGGAGGTTAGTTCGGAGTGCAACAATTACTTGTTTTTAGCAGCTCATGCGATTCAAAATCTGTCCCTACAAAACTTGTGCTTTCTGTTTTGTGACCCATTTTATAGCGGAACCTATATTTTCAAGTACCGATCCCACACCAAAAATAGTTTTCTGCAACCCGACTCTATTTTGTCATGAGATCATACAGCAAAGAAAGTCAGATTTCAAGCAAAACACAATGCTAGCTTCGTAGCCTTCCACGGGTAGCAGACAAATTGATGTTCGGCATGAAAGTCTCCAGGAAACCAGTGAATCAGAGGCGTCTATATCGTGTTCAGTTTGCGGGAATAAGCATTTGAAGTTATGTTTGACGGGCAAAGAAGCATGTGACATATGAAAGGTTTGACCCCACTATTCAAAATCACCCATTATTTGAGGAAATAATTTGAGACTGCGGAGCTCAAGTTGCCCGGCTGCATCCTCCATGCCGACGCCACCACGCAGTAAGACCAAAAAAGATAGTCTTTGTGTGACAGTCATCTCTGAGCTACGCTCTATGCAGCATTCCTGCCAAAAACAATAGGGGCCGAGCCAACATCGAGGGGCGACCCAAGATTAGGGGGGTGGGGGCAGCACCCACAAAAGCATATAAATCAGCACCCGCGATTCAAGATTAGAGTCCATGCATAGCAGGTTGGCTGTGTGTGCCTGCTCCAGCTTCCTGTCGCAGCAAAACTTCATTTTAATGACAGCACTTTGTGGAAAACGCTTAACGGGCGTTAATACTCGGCACATTCCGCCCTGCCTTTTGACCTCCCTGACATTGAACGCGATATACCACCGGCCGCAGCCTATTCAAGTCAGGGGTCAAATAGCGAGCGCACATAGGCGCAGCCAAGGGAGGATGTCGAGACCATTCCCCACCCCAACCACGACCCATGCTGAGGCCCTGCCTCACCACCCCCTCCCCTCCCTCTAAGGTCAGTATTGTTTAGCACAAAAGATGGCTCCTGACAATAAAAAGAAACATGGTAATTTTTCAGTGAGCTCCCGTCCTGCTTAGATTATTTTGGATGTGCCCCCGCGAACGCGTATAACAATTTGATCCCACGCCATCCCTCCGCTGCCTGGGCGGGTTGTGGTCGCCAGGAGCTGATACCGATTTAACAGTGCAAACTACTAATGGAATGCACACCACATCACCAAAGTTTTAAAAAACATAACAAGTATTTGCTTTTTCAACCCTGCTGGGTGGGTTTTATTGGTTATTTTTTGCGTTTGATACGGGCGACTGATGAGCTTTATTTGAGCGATATGTGGCCCATTGGATAATTTTGACTCTAGCCGATAAAACGACAGCCCAGATGGCGAGCTTTTCTTTTAGTTCTCCTGCTGCTGCTTTAAGGCCGACCCGAGTAGTGCTGGCCCTCTTTGATCAGTTGACACTTAACCTTTTTGTGTCAGTCCTGCCAGACGCATTGCGTGACTGTACCCCGCGCCGCTCCGCTGGGAGGGCTGCAGAGGTATGAGATGTCAACAAATTCGATGCGAGGCACTTAACAGCACATACGTGATTTATCACTCTTCCGGTTCGGTGCTGCGGTGACTCATTCCTCGTCCCCTCGACCCAATTTCAGCTCGTTTCACGGTGCCGGGAGCATAACTGCCAAACTAATTGCGCCCTCCTCCCGGGGGCATTCGCTCCAAACGGGCCCGGCGCACAGGCCGAGTTTGACGCTCAAAGTGAAGATGTATTCACCAAAAGACCCAGTAGTCTAGGCTGCAGTGGAAGTGCTGTGTGTTGTTCGGCCGCTCTGGTATGATCTGCACAGGCGGCTTATGGCGTGTATTTTTAGGATAACGGCTCGAACATGTTCCATTTAGCATGTCGACTTCGGCAAATGAATGGTATCGCTGTAACGACTGACAATGACAAGAGGACATGTAATGCTTACCTACCTGCCGCACGTACTACTTGAGCCATGCAGTGTACGCGCGTATCCTCTGTGTGCTGCACTATGATTGAACTCGTGGTCTCAACATTAGACAGCAGTCGCTTAATAGTAAATGGTATCATAACGCTCACCATACGTGGTCAACGCATCCCAGACCCATTCTCTTGAAGTCGGCTGCTGATCGTGACCGCTATCACATAATCAGCATAATCATGATCATCACATTACTTTGAATATGGCCAATGCCGTCAAAACGTGCATCACCACGCAGGCGGGAAAAGCAGGCGTACCTCACCTGTCAACTGATGACGCGCAGCCGTACTCCTGGAGCAGACTAGACCCGCGTCGATCCCACGAAGGGTATGCCCGTCGATGACATGGATGAGAGCGCACGATTACATTGCTGCAAATTCAAGACGAAAATAACTGCCTGATGGAAGTATGTGACTTTCGATAAAATCTTGGTGAAGTGGAGATACAGTTCTCCACGTGAAATAGACCACAAGATCCACCTTCCTTCCACGCCGTCGTTCTAGCAAGGTCCAAAAGCTGATTAATTCGACATACAAGAGCATGATGTCTGACTGGTCAGCTTAGCACAGTAATTTCAGCCATTTTGGTGCATGCGCACTGGATCAGGTTTCAATCACAAATCAAATCTTGCCTTCCGCCGCTCTCGATGACCTAAAAAATGCATTTTTGTCCGTCCAGACGGTCACCACATGCGTCTTCCAGCCGAACCTGTCGATCGATGAGGCATTTTAGCCGGCGCCGAGGGCCAGAGTCGGTCATTATCGTGGCAGAGTGCCGGCGGCGGAACAAAATAACGCGGCCTCCTCCGCGCCGCGCCGCAGACCGGTCCGCGCGGACAAAGCTCCGCTACTTGGCGGCCCGCTGACGGCCCATTGACGGCCCATTGACGGTCTGCCCGCCACTCACGAGTCCCGGCGCGGTGCGGACACAATCTCGGCCGGTGACTGACTGCGACAGCAGTGGTCAGCCGGACGCTCAGCTGACCACCCTCCGCCGATTCATGTCGGTGCTGCTGGGAGAGAAGGTCAGTAGAGTCGCCCCGCGCGTGCATCCGAGCAGTACAAAATGATATTGGAATTGCTAGGCGCCGAATGCTTCTATGCCACCATACTTATTGCTAGTTGTAAACGTGTCAGTCTCGTCCTAAAAGCAGTAGCGCCATGGACCAGCACGGAGTGATGCCGTCCGAGCTCTACTGAAGGAAGTAGCTGTCGCCTCGCCTCCACACTACACCGTAGCGAGGTGGGGACGCCTGCCGGACGCATAAAGGGGCTTTGATCTGCCTTGGGAGTGATCCACGAGAGTGCGAGGCCCGAAGTATGATCACATCACGCCGAGACGGAAGGAAAGGAAATGGCGCCATCTGGTTCGCGTTGCACAGGAGTGCAGTTGTTGAGTGCACGTTGTACTCAGGAGTGCACGTTGCACAGTCGCACATCGTGCTGAAACCGTCTAGACGAGTGACTCCGCCGGCGGAGTGCTGTTGTCATCGCTCCAGTACTACTAAGCATTTAATGCGTTAATGGGTGATTGCTTTCCACTGTGTACGAATACCGACTTCATGCATTTCCTCATGGTCGTCGCAGTTGTGACAGCGCCAGATGAAAAAGACGGGATGCTTGCATATGTACTATCAGCAGATGTTTCCTGCGCCTTCCCTGTGAAAACGGGTTCCTTTTTCTGTTCGGGTTCCTGGCATTGAAACAACACTGTCGCGGTGCATTCCTAGGCTATTTTCCCGTCCCAGCATGTTAGAGCTAGAACGCTGCACCAGAAAATGGCATGACCTGTCAAAAAGACCAGCGCTTCCCGTCTCCCATCGAGCGGCGCAAGCTGGCATGTGTGGAGCGTAGACCATCAGACCCTTGACCGACGTTTCGAGGCGTGTCCTTAAGGTCACAGCGCCGCCGGCTCTGATGACCTGCACCCGGAGGCCACCGGACCGCACAACACCGGTGCGCCTAGGCTCGGCGGGCCAACAGCGCCGCCGGCTCTGATGACCTGCAGCTGGAGGTCACCGGACCGTAAAGCGCCGGTGGGCCTAGGCTCGACGGGTCAACAGCGCCGCCGGCTCTGATGACCTGCACCCGGAGGTCACCAGACCGCACAACACCGGTGCGTCTAGGCTCGGTGTGCCAACAGCGCCGAAACGGCGCGGCGCGGTGCTGCAGCGGCTGAAACAATACTGCAATTATGTGACGCAGCGAGTGGTTGATGTCAGATGGCCGGTGCTTCCTGCAAGCAACGGAGGGTGATGGCCCCCAAGCGATGGCGAGTTTACAGGTGTTGGAAGAGAGTATGTCTTCGCGCTTCTCAATACGGCATCCGATTTAATGTTCATGCGTGGCGTTACGTATAACCACTGTTAGTAGAGGCGCTCGAACACCAAACAAAACGATACCTCACTACTATAGACTCATCAGCAGAGCTCTGTCTTTCGATGGCGCCAAGGCACGAATGCACACGAACAACACGGCACTCAGGTGTTCCGTCTTTATTTCTCACAGGCTTTCGCATTCACAACAATGAGACTCATCTGTGGGATGACGAAACACAAATGCCGACAAACCTCCTAGCCAAGTATAACACAGTTTGGCGCCGAGTTTTCCAGGCCCGCAGAAACCATTTGCATACAGAGCCGGCGACTTCCCGCTTCACCTCAATCCAGCGACTCTTCACACCACAACGAAATCAGACAGCAAGAGAGTTCAGCAGAAGACTAACAAAGCCAGCCGGGGAAATTTGGTGCCGCACCGCTCCAAGCGCATAAACAAACAAACTTTGGTATGTGTAAACATATCAAGACGCCTTGCGCCCTAGTTTAATACAAACGTGTTTTTTCCTTATTTACGTGGTCATATTGCAATGGAGGGAAAAAGCAACCCGTTGAAGCCAACTGGGATGGATGAAGGGTGGTAGATATTGCATTCTTGAATTACCTATCACACAATGACTACGATGCTCGGTAAAGAAATCCGCGGCTGCAATAAGCATGTTATATCAAGACGTTTGACGCACAAACCTAGAAAAATATCTTAGATAAAGATGAATACATTGATTCTACAATCAAACAATCACAATGGTCTGCTTTTCAGCTTCATATCGTTTACCAGCATTGCTTGCTGAAGCTGGTGGTGTGACGCTCATCTCCGCACACGACGATACATCTGCACGCACGTGCTCCGACGAGGATCACCCCTGCGCATCGCAGCACACGACGGTAAATCTGCACGCACGTGCTCCGACGAGGATCACCCCTGCGCATCGCGGCACATCACGATAGCCTGTGTGTACTGTCAGAGCATCCCAGCGCGAGGCAGTCTCTTTGGCTACAGACTAGTCTTATCACATTGACAGATCCGAACCGTTGCCACAGTCACTCCGCTCATTCGGAGCTCCGTTCAAAGACTCTTCATACCTGACCCACATGTACAGGTGTTCCGGCACTGGCCGCGTCGTGTTCCGTCTGTAGTCCTGGAGCAGGCGAGCGTCGCTGCCTACCTCGGCGGCGGCACGTCTGCCCGCCGCCGCGCCACCATGCGCTGCTGCTAGCGACCGGCGGCTAGGGTCCAGCACAGCCGGCGCCGGCGCCGACCAGACACCAGCGATGAATGCATTACTCTCCGCGCGACCCGACCCCCGCGCGGTCCGTACCGGTACGCTGCGCCGAGCGGTGGCACTGGCGGCGGCGACGGCGGCGACGGCGACGGCGGCGACGGCGGCGGCGGCGGCGGCGGCGGCGGTGAACTTTGGCGGACATCGGCCAGCACACGACGGGAGCGGCGGCTCAGTCGGGGGTCCTCTCCAGCTGGGGACGTGGTTCGGTCGAATGCCCGCTCCAGCAGGGGACGTGGCTCAGTCGCGCACTCTCCCTATCAAAGGACGCAGCTCAGTCGGACGCCCTCTCCAGCCGGAGTCGACTCACTCCAGCACCTTCTCTAGCAAGGGACGTGGTTGGGTCGAGCGCCCTCTCCAGCTGGGGACGTGGCTCAGTCGGGCGCTCTTTCTAGCTGGGGACGTGGCTCGGTCGGGGGCGCTCTCCAGCCGTCTCCAGTCGGATATATTCGGTTTACATTCACCGGGCGAGGATGAGGCTCACCACGAATATCACCCAGCGGGCGACCTCCTGGCAGAGGGCGCAGCTCGAGTCTGGAACACGAGTCGCTGTTGTGAGAGCAGCGTACGGCGGATCACGAGCGCGGCGCTGTACACTGGATCGTCACCGAGCGGTGCTCAAAAACAGCTACTTATTAGACTCCGCTCAATGGAAAGCCGGAATATTGTATAATGCAAAGGCTAAACCCAAAGCAGTGGTGGTGAAAGCCGGTGGTGCGGGAGGCCTGCATATCACGTTTGAGCAAATCAAAATTACCACCTTCGCGTTGCATGTAAATTAAACGCTGTGGAAGTGGAGTTTGACGCATCGCCTCGGGACATCACAGTCATGCGCCCACGGCATTGTGTTCACAGTCGAAAAAAAACATGTAGATACTGCCGCGTTATATGTATTTTTGAGAAGGAATTGTTTTGATCACTGGTGGGTGGTAAAAAATTTAAAAACCTGTTAGAAGGATAATAGGAAGCATGCATGCTATGGACATGACTGCAAATGACCGCAAAAGAATGCTCACTTCCATTTGCAAGCACCTATTCCTTGTCACGCTTCGCCTGAATAGCAGGTCCAATAATAAGGGCAGCACATTTACCGGGAACAGAAAGTGTGTCACGACCATCAGCCACAACATACAAAGCCCCACCAACACGATGCATTCAAACGGCCCCACAACGCGTGCGCGCTCGACATCGGCATTGAGTCATAATGAGCGCCGCTCCCACTTAATGCCGCTTTACCTCACACTGCTGGGTATCGCGTTGGGCTTCAAATGGGATGGCTGGAAGCGAAGGCCAACCACTAAACGCAAGCTTTAACTGGGTGGCGTTTTCGCTCCACCCTCGTGCCAACCAAAAACTCCACCCGCACTCGATGCTCGCATACTATACCCTACCGCGCACGCATCGCGGTGATGGTAATGGCAATGGCGGTAATAATGCTCCGTTACGTCACCGAATACCGCATGGAAGGCTTCCGGTCATGATATCACGGATCCATTCGCGACGCAGGCGATTTGGAGCGGCCCACGCCACGGCTCAGCCCGGTCGTCGCCGTCGACTGGACATGGACGTCGTGGGACCCCGACCCGAACCAGCTATAACCGCTCCCCCCCTCCCCCCCTCCCCCAGACACCGGAGATTCGTTATCAACGCCGCCACGCCACCGGATAGACGCATCAGAAAATGTGACAGCCGCATGCCCCACTTATCCCATTAGCGTGTGCAGACACGCGCCTGGCAGGACCCCGACGATCGCCAGATACGGCAGGGGCGGGCTGACAAACAGCTGTCCGACCCGAGACCAGTACACCACGGCCATGGGCATGTACAAGGTGACACGATACTCCACTCATGCGGGTTAGTGACCCCGGCTTACTGGTCAAGGTAGTGAGAACTGAAACTGATGACTGGCTGCTCTCGAGCCCTTCAGAGGGCCTTTGCATGACAGACTTTTAAGAATTAGTTGCTGCATTCCAGCAGCCCAGACAGGGAAAAGCAGGCGCTGTGAAGCCGGCATCCGGGTGATGGATTATACGCCAACGACGTCACGGTCGATGCAGAGGAAAACTGGTCATGTCTTTATAAGCAAGGTACGCGCTTCTGCTTGTGTAACTGCTATCGCTTTATCGCTCCCACAGGAAGGCATGAAACCACGTCAACTAAATTCAACGTGTCATGAATCAGACGGGTTCTTTTTCCCACAGCCTGTTCAGGAACGTCGCTTGTACGAATATGATGACGTATGTAAAACGCGATGTAATAAGGCGACGCGTAATCTCGGACAATTTATTACCTAAAGCCGTCCATTAAGTTAACGATCGCATGAACATTCAGTGCTAAAGAGACGTGCGTTATGGCCGCCATCAAATCAAAGCGGACCCACTCCTACATATCGGAAACCGAGCTAAGACCGATCACGCAAAGTTTCCGAACAACAGCCATCAGCACAGCAGTGCGGTCATTGGGGCGCCATTGCACGACGTTGTCGCGAGAAAAGAGATTGATTCGCCCCGACGTCTGAGGCGTTATCGGCGCAATAAAACCAACTACGAAACGTCGCCGTTACAAATCACAGTAGATGGGGTGAAATTGCACCCGTGGAGCTGCCGCTCGAGACAAAGACGTCGCCTGCAGCCACCCATCACCAGACCCCGGTAGGGGAGTGACTCTACTGTCGCCCCCGCCGCCCCTCAGACACCCCGTGGTCCCCGCAACAGCCCACGCGACACATCTGCATCCGAGCCGGCGGCCAAATCACTCCCTGGCGCCTCCTCGGCGAAAAAACTGCCGCCATTCCATTCCTCGTCCGCTCGACAAACGCGTCGTTGCGGCGTTCGAACCGGACGACAACAAAAACAGGCGGCCCAGCACGCCGTCCACGTCTGTCATATCCCCGAGGAGAGCCGGCCCCGCCGACCGGCCGGTCGGGAGACGTCAGCCGGAATGGGTCGCGCCGTGGGAGCGAACGCGGCGCGGATGCGACGGACACGCCGCCGGTCGGCTCACCCACACGTGCGATGGCTGACGGCCGGTACGCGACTCGTGATAGGCTGGGACACGGGCTGCGCGCCGGCTGCCAGAATCTAGAGCGACGGGGTTAGGACGCGTGGATCTGCTGAGGCGGCGTAGGATGAGGTTTTAAGGCAGCTGTTTGGAGGGAGGCTGCTTTCAGTTTCGATTTGGTCAGCCAGCACAGCCGTCACTGGCCATCAGGTACAAATATGTGAACAACATTTATAAGCAAGTTTTTTGTTTTCAATTAATAATCATGGGGCCCGTATGAGTTAAGTCTCTGAATACAAGTACCGGTGAAAGCTCATCAGATTCTCCACAGTCCTACACAACCTCCTACAATTATGAGAGCTGCCCCATCGACGCTCATGGGATTCATGGGTGATTTAGTATTCGAAACCAAAACTTTGAAGCATCTCACCCAACGCAGGAGCGACGTGGATGCAGGGACACTTCATGACGATGGTAAGACCAACCCAACATTCCCACTGCCACCACCTGAGACGCGCATGGGCGGCTGTAGCGGCCACAGGACACGTACTGTGGCGGGCGGAGGAAGCGCCGTCCACGACGCGCGAGACTTCCGGCGGCCGTGCGGCCACGGCGCTGAGCTCGCGGCTTCGCCAGTACAGCGGCCGCGCCAGGTCCGCCAGCTGGGAGACGCACTTGAGCTGCATCGTGCCGCGCTGGAAGTGGTGCGGCCGCGCGCGGAACTGCAGGCCCACCGTCGCCGTCTGCAGGCCCTCCTCGTCGATGGTGGGCGGCCAGAGCCTCAGGTGCGACAGGGCCGCCTGCCGCGAGCACACACCGGGCATGCGCGGTGAGACGCCGCCGCCGCCGCCGCCGGCAGAGCCGGCTTGCCATACGGCGGCAGCGCGCAAATGGACGGTCGGGTAGCTGGTGAGCCGAGCGTGCACGTCCGTTACGCGACTACGTGCAGCTTCAGACCGGGGTGTACTATCCACTGTTTTGTGCGGTTCTTTTTACGGTACTCTGTGTGCAGCTCACCGTAACCTTTGCAGCCATAGCAGCGCTGAGTGACGGTTCAAACGTCACCAAACTGTCATCGCCACCAGCTAGTGTCGCACCACCAGAGTTGTTCGCTCCCACCTGTTCGTGGTTGATGTACCACATGAGCTGCGCGGCCGGCTGGCTCCTGTGCGAGGTGCAGTTGACCTTGACCTGATCGCCGAGCGCGTACCGGGACCGGCCGCCCGTGATGATCGGCCCCTCGGACGGCAGCACTGCAGCGGGCCGACCAACGGCGGCTAGTCAGGCTCAGGGCGCTCAGTTCGGTGACTGACCGTGGTGTCAGTGGGATGTACAACGGTCATGGCTACCGTGCCTTCATAATGCATTTCACTTTAGTTTAGTTTATCACCATCTTTTCACTTGGTTGCAACCACAAATCAGTTATCGGCAATTCACTGCAGTGATTATTTTACGTGACGAACCATTGGTAACATTTGTCGATTAGAAGGTGATGATGGCAACGCGATGGGACCTGGTTCGTGTCCGTTACTCAGCAAGGAAAACGCCAGCAAGAAACGCCGGTAAACGACCCTCGGCCCGGATAAACATTTGGCGGAAAAAACAAGGTCGAGACTTCATCGGAGCTGGCATTCGTGTCCAGGAGAGATAAGAAGCAGTGCTTGTTAGCAGACGTTTCTAGCAGCCCAGAATTACGTTAAACTGGGCTCCGCGGCGTGTAAATATTGCAAAGGAGTGGCCCAGCCAAGAGGTCCAATGTTTTTGCTATTTCGACCAGCGGAGAAGCGTTCTTCGGTCCCACAGAGATCGTCTCGGCTGCAGACGCCACGGAGCCTTTTTCCGTCGCCACTTCCAAAGCCAGTCAGTGCAAGCAGCCAGATTTAATCGAACGCAGGGAAAGCCATTTATTGAAACGACAAAAGCAAACATTCCAATGTCGCCACCATTAGCCATTTCAAAGGACCGGAAGGAAGCCGGGGCTGGGAAGTGTCTGCGGCCCGCCGGGCTGGGAAGTGTGCGCGGCCCGCCGGGCTGTTTGCGGTCTGCGGACTCACCCACGATGTGGATGTCTCCCTTGCCCTGCTGGGTGGCGAAGTTGGGCGCCTCGGTGGAGACCTCGCACATGTAGCGACCCGCGTACCGCAGCGTTGTGTCACCCAGAAGCACGTGCGTCGCGTTCGACTGGTCCAACTGTAACGGCGCCGAGCAGGGTTAAAGACCAGCGCGTGGTAAGGATGAACGTGTAGCTCTGCGGTGGGATTGGACTGCACGCGGGAAATGTTATTGTAAGAAAACACTGCAAAACATACTGCCTGCTGATGAGTATTTATGCACGGTTTATTAACATTGCGAAAGAAATGAACTGGTTCCATTGCAAATTATGATACTTATTTTCAATTCTTCAATTAACGCTCTACATGTGCCGAAATAATCTTTATACTTGGAATTTGTTCAGAGATCTTATAAGTGAAACTGTTAAAATATGTGTTCGTCAGACGTTAGCTTGTTCATCGGGCGTTGTTCCGTTCTGAGCGCCTGTGCAAGCCAATGAAGACAACACACAACTTACATCCACCCGAATGCCAGTCTGTGGAAAATTCTTCTTGCGCAGCCGGGTGGAGGGCTCGTAGCGGTAGAACTCCTTGCCGTCCTTGTACCACTTGATGGAGTACAGCTCCTTGCCCTCCAAGTCGTACAGACAGGCCAGATAGGCGTCCTCCCCTCTCCGGATGTTGCGCGGAATGATCACCTCATACAGCTGCAGACAGTGAGCCACTGAAACAAACCCCATCACGTTAGTGGCGGCGCACTGAATTCTAACCGATGTCTATCGCATGTCTGACAGCCGTCCATAAGCACACAAACGCTTAAGAAGTAACACAATATGAGCCAAACACACAATTCTGTTGATGTTCCAAGAGGGGGTGGGGGAGGAGGATAGTGAGGCTACATTGAAGGAACGGCCATTGAATTGGTTAAGCACGCTGGCACTGCTGAACATGCAGACGTTTTATAACATGTAAGGCACTGTCCGTACTCGCTTCAGGTTTATTACGGGGCCACCCAGTTGTTATTTTGCCAGATTTACAAGCTGTCAGAGCTTCCCACAAAGCAATTTCGCCAACCCAGTTCTCAGCTATCTGGCTGGCAGAGTCCGAAGGAACGTGGTGTTTTCGCCTATACGGGATCACCATTACTCTTAACACAATTAACTTCAGCTGCAGCGTGGCTTAGCGGGCCTCGCACGCCTACGCCCCATCTAAGTTCACATATTTTTGCAAAGGGAATATTTGTTTCCTGGGCATCAACACTTTCTAAATCTGCAATTACAGCACCAGCTATGCTCTAGACTTCAGCGTTTCGAGACCTAGTCTTTCAGATCCTTCTGATGACCTCGCCGCGCGACAGGCAGACCCGCGTGCAGCTTCGCTGCCTTCTACGGTCGTGTGGGAACCATGTGCACCAGCTCACTTCCTGGCCCGGCCGGGGGCGTCGGAATGGCGGTGGCTCCGCTGGCCGGCCAGACGGCGGCCGCCGCCGAAACCGCCGAGTGCCAGCGGGCAGGAGCCTGCCGACCAGCCGAGCTGGTGGCCGACGATGTGGAACACCCGAACACATCCCGAGGCCGCGATGTGGAACACCCAAGCACATCCCGAAGCCGCGATGCGTGGAGCAGTTTCCCGTGCGTTCGTGCCACTGGCTTCGATCCGCCGGCCGTGGTACTGGATCTCTCGGCCACAAGCATGCGTGAGGTTCGGCGAACGGGCAATGGAAGGCCATGACTTTGACCCGGGACGAAACACCGTGACCTATTAAGCTGACGTGATGACATACGAACTCAGCGTTCGTGGGGCTTTAAACATGTCTGACGGATGCATACGGCCGCGCTGCCGAGCGGCCGGTCGAGGGTATTGGAACGAAAATGAGCTCGGCACGACATCGCCTCATCAACTAAAAGGCACACGTGGTCATGTGCACACGGTAAATCACATGCTTGACGTGCCACGCACCACGCATTCTCATGGGAACGCAGCGCTAGATAACCCGATCAAAGTCAACTCTTGCCAGGAGACACGACACGCGATAGTCGGCGTGTCCAGCTCTGCACCTGGCCAGGTGGCCACGCCTCTCGCCCCCCACCGTGGCCGGAGTGCCACCTGGCCAGAGCGGGGCGGCGCACCGCAGCGTGGCGTGGCGCGGCGCGGCTCACACGGCCACGCGCGACGCTGTCACGGTCAGGGGTGCACCTGGCCGGCGGTGCGCTGGTGCATGCTGCGGTGTCACGGCCCGGCTCCCACTCATACTACGCCCGCCCCCCCCCCCCCCCCCCCTGCCTGCCCCGCCCCGGTCCTTGCACCGGCGGCGGCGGTTCGGCCTGCTCTGACGGCGGCGGTTCGGTCTGCTCTGGCGGCGGAGGTTCGGTCTTCTTTGGCGGCGGCGGTTCGGTCTGCTCTGGCGGCGACGGTTCGGCTTTTTTGCGGCGGCGGTTCGGTTCTGGCGGCGGAGGTTCGGCCATCTCTGGCGGCGGCTGTTCAGTTGTCTGGCGGCGGAGGTCGGCTCTGGCGGCGGAGTTCGGCCATCTCTGGCGGCGGCTGGCGGTTGTCTGCTTGCGGCGGAGTTTCGGCCATCTCTGGGGCGGCGGAGGTTTCGGCGGCGATCTCTGGCTGCGGAGGTTCGGCCATCTCTGGCGGCGGGTTCGGTCTGCTTGGCGCGGAGGTTCGGCCATCTCTGGCGGCGGCGGTTCGTCTGCTCTGGCGGCGGAGGTTTCGGGCCATCTCTGCGGCGGAGGTTCGGTCTGTCTGGCGGCGGACGGTTCGGCTGCTCTGGCGGCGGTTCGTTGTTCGGAGTCTCTCTCTGGCGGCGGAGGTTTCGCCATCTCTGGCGGCGGCGGTTCGGTCTGCTCTGGCGGCGGAGGTTCGTCTGCTCTGGCGGCGGAGGTTCGGCCATCTCTGCGGCGGCGGTTTCGGTCGCTGCTCTGGCGGCGGAGGTTCGGCCATCTCTGGCGGCGGCGGTTCGGTCTGCTCTGGCGGCGGAGGTTCGGCCATCTCTGGCGGCGGAGGTTCGGTCTGCTCTGGCGGCGGAGGTTCGGCCATCTCTGGCGGCGGAGGTTCGGCCATCTCTGGCGGCGGAGGTTCGGTCTGCTCTGGCGGCGGAGGTTCGGCCATCTCTGGCGGCGGCGGTTCGGTCTGCTCTGGCGGCGGAGGTTCGGCCATCTCTGGCGGCGGAGGTTCGGCCATCTCTGGCGGCAGCAGGGACCGATCCGATCCCATCACCGGCCGCCATCAGCGTCGCCGCCCGGCCCAGCCAGGTGGGCGCCTGTTTGTGTCACGGTCCGGTGCCGGCGGCCCGCGCACGCGAGCCACGCCGCCGGGCTGGAAAGGCCGATGGCGCCTGAGCCATGCCGCGCGTGGAGCGCCGCGCTCAGCACAGCGGCTGGGAGCGCGTGTTGAGGGTTCTACTGGAATACCAATGAACTTATGGTTCGTCTTGGTAAAGTCGTGACTCGGGTGGTGTTTGCAGAAATACTCGGTAATAAAATTCTATTGGATTTGGTTCAGAGTGCAGCAGTTTTCCCGTATATTCCCGTCAGACGTCGGGCTCAGAGTACCTACAGCCATGTTTTTCGGTCAGTGGCTGCGCACCAGTCAGTAATAGAGGGCAGGTGCCTACAAGAGGAAAATGTTCATTTGCCTGTGACCACTTTAACGAAAAGGCACGGGGAATTTTCTAAATGTTCTAATTTCGCCTGTTTGACGTCCACCAACTTAATTTTATAAGTGCCGCGTCGAAAGCGCGCTTAATCTGTCAGTTTTAGACACCAAGCGTTTCCTCACATTAGAACCAAGCCGACAAAGAAGACTGGATCATTCCTGGATCAGAAGAGGATGGGATAAAGTTAAACCTCAACCAATGCCATTAAACTGTAGCGTAACGCCTACCAAAGGGACACCACACAAAGCTAAGGTCATGTGCCAGCCTACACCACAAGGCTCCTTTCTGTGTGTCCATGTGCTCCACTTCTGCGCCGCACAACCAGAGTAGTATGGCCTTCACGGGTCGGGAGGGCGGATGTCACGCCTCCAGAACGACCTCTCGCGTCTGCGCCATTGTCACGGGCGACATGCTAATCCTGCCCTTCCGTTGCGCGGTTGGCGGCCTCTACAGCCGTGAGCGAGCCCGCGCGTGGCCGCCGCTTCAATGGCCCGTGGGATCCCGCCGGGCGCAAATATAGCACGTACGCCAGGCTAAACGCGGCGCCGCTCCAAATTCGAGGTGTTGATTGAATCGCATGAGAATCCCGCACCATCCGTCAAGAGCAGGCCATTCATCAAACTCTCGGGCCCGCCGACCGCAGCAGCAATGAGCCTCGATGCTGCCCTGGAGGAGCGGGCACAAAACAACGCCGTCCATCTTACGAGGCGGTTCAGGCCTGGATCGCAGAGGCACAAGAGCACGGTCCGAATTAATTCAAGCGCGGGTGACAGTCTAGTTGCTGCTCTAGGCTCTAAATCGTATGCAACGAGCTCTCGGATGCTTTGCACGTAGTCCGGCTAGGTTTTGTAGCTGTTTGATAATGCTCTAGATATAACATACCTATTTTAGCATTCTTAGGCCCCCGCCATACCATACGGCCCATCGTGGAGCGAGGCTGTGCAGATACCAGAATAGCCGCAGCAATGATACTCCTGAACGTAATCCGACGCTAACCGCTGGAAAATGATGCTAAGAACTGAAGGAGCGTAAGCATCGGTATGTGGCTGCAGGTCTAACGTATATCACTGTTGCAGCCTGAACACCGCTTTAGTCTCTTACGAGGATCAGCTATACCTCCGAACGCAAGGTCCAGTGCTCCCTGTCCACTGAGCAGCCGCCCCCGACAGCGATCACCTGTCCTCAGACATCTGTCGCATCGCGGACCCCAGCAGCAGCGGCTGCCGCCGGATGCACGTGGCCCACGAGCCGGAAGAACGGTCACGCCGTGTTTCACGCGCCACGGCCGGCCGCGGCGGTCGGCGGGACGGCGCGAGCACTGCGGGCCGGTCAGCCGCCGGGCGCCGCCGCGATGGAGACTTCAACGCCGCGCGCCGGCCGAGCCGGGGCGGAATTTCGCCCTGGGCACCGGCAGCGTTGATGAATGGATGGCGCGCAGTAACCATGATCGATGGAGTCGGAATACGTCAACAGGCCGCTAACGGAATCCTGCCATTAGCCGTCACGACCCGCAGATTTGAGGTGATAAACCCACGCGCATGAGCCGGCCCGCACCACCAACAAATACAGTAATTGGTCGCTCGGTCTCGCGGCGGCCGAGCTCCATGATCAGGCCGACGCGGGCATTCCGTCTGCGTGTGGATGCCAGCACGTGATGCTGCACTTGGATCAGCGGCGCAAATCAGGATTTCTCCCAGGGGAGAGCCAGATAGGGTCGTGGGGAACCCAATCAGTTCAGCCAAGGGGCCCTCTTCGTCGCTCTATGATGATTGTGTTTTTAGTTGGATGATCTTATCTAGGCTCCGGATCCCATTTTGATGTCTTGGGGACCAGATTATATGTTTTAAAGTCCCTCCAAGCTTGTCAAAGTGTGAAAAAGCACTGGAGTCCCCCCCCCCCCGGAGATGGCATGTCTACAAAATATCCCCTCTTAGCTACGCCGCTGACTGTTTTGGGCAGTTAGCGCTGATGTTTTTTTAATTCACACTAACACCCCTGGAAGCACCGGAGACATTTCAGAGAATGAACTTTGGCTCCGGCTCAGGAATGATTGAATGACTTCCACGAGCAAAATATTCCAGCCTGCTTGCACCGCCCAGTCACCACGTCTTCAATCCCCATCAACTCAAATATCGCCCAGAAATCGGGCACTGGTGACTACAGCGTAACCAGTAGCATACAGTAAAATACACAAAAAATGCCTACATACCTGACTTTCACTCATTGCAAACTTCGAGCATGCGCATGCCCGCCCGGAGGAGCAGCCACTCCTGTAAGCTTCGAGCAAACCCGCACTTTCCCGGAGCAGCAGCCACTCCTGTAAGCTCCGAGCAAACCCGCACTCTCCCGGAGGAGCAGCCACTCCTGAAAGTTTCGAACAAACCCGCGCTTTCCCGGAGCAGCGGCCATTCCTGCAAGCTTCGAGCAAACCCGCACTTTACCGGAGCAGCAGCCACTCCTGCAAGCTTCGAGCAAACCCGCACTTTCCCGGAAGAGCAGCCACTCCTGAAAGCTTCGAGCAAACCCGCACTTTCCCGGAGCAGTAGCCACTCCTGCAAGCTTCGAGCAAACCCGCACTTTCCCGGAGGAGCAGCCACTCCTGCAGAGTTCCAGCAAACCCACACTCCCCCGGAAGAGCAGCTAATCCGGCAAAGTTCGAGCATACCCGTACTCCCCCGGAGGAGCGACCACTCCTGAAAGCTTCGAGCAAACCCGCACTTTCCCAGAGGAGCAGCCACTCCTGCCTGCTCCCTCGTTTGCGTGTAATCGGCACTCATCCAGCATAAGTTATTTCATCCAATCGTCCTAATTACGCAGGTCAGGTTTAATTACTCGAAATATGTCTGGAATGCACTTACGATTTCTGCCAACTTGTGTTATCCAGAAGGTGCACGGCAAGTTATGAATTTTGCTTTGAACGTCATGTCGCCCAGGACAGAGTCAATGACTTGTTGACGCCTGCGACAATATCTATATGGACGGTTCAGTGTCTTGCGAATGCGACCACCGCCTCTATCTGTTCAGACACGATTGGTTACCCATTCGAAATGAGCACGCCATTCATTTGCCGTTTTTCTCGCTTGATTTTGACGGCATAGGCAGGACCGTGACCGGCACAGTCTTTCAATGTTAACGAATACACGCATTGATTAAGTACTCCACTGATTGCTGAAGAGAAATTGATAGATTGGCGGACTGGAGGAAAACGAATCGGTAAACGCCAATCCAGGTGTAAAAATCGTCCAATTATGTGACTGGGACCAGCTCCAGTCCGCAGCGTCAACCAACGACGGTGTTTCAACAAGATGGTCCCGAAAGCCGTAGTCGTGTACCAAGACAACGGAACCCCTTCAGCCCAATCAATGACTTACCCTCCACAAGGAAGAGGAGTAAAGCAGCCGAATGCAACACCCAGGCTGTGGAGCACATTCTCGGCGGCAGGTGCGAGCGCCAATCCACCACCACGCCGCTGCAAACCCAACTGATCCGCGAGCACAAAGGTCACGCCACTCGTCAGCTGACCGCGTGCCGGGTCAGCGAAGGTCACGCGGCCGTGTCGTGATTGGTGAACGCCTTGGCGGGCACATGTCCATACGCGCGGTCCCCGCGAACGGCAGACGCGGCCGCTCCACCCACCGCTGCTGCCGAAGCCGACTGGCCCGCCGCTGCCGCCGCCCGCCAGCTGGAAGGCAGGGCGCATGCGCGGAGGACACGCGCGGAACGAGAAGTGACCGATTGAGGGGGTCCACCTGTCGGAGTCGCGTCGGGGTCCAGGGACAGCTGGGCTCCCGGCAAGGCCCAATTACCCGCCGGTGGAGAGGGACAATTGCATTAGCAGCTGCTCTTGCATTAATGGGAGGCGTTCCCCACGCTGCAGTAACCATTGTTCTGGGCATCATTCACGGTGCGATAATGTTGTCCTACAGTAAGCAGCTGCTGGTGTGAATTGGTCATGGAAGTTGGCATTGGACTGGGATCCAACGATTTAGGCGGGAGGTGGATAAAGCAGAACAGGGCTCACCTGAGCTTATCCCCTGACATGAAAACAAACAATGTCAAGCTTCCATTCACAGTTAGCCACATATATCCTATTCAAGTATACTTACAGCCCAGATCCATCAGTGGTCCTACAATACTCTTCATTTCTCCACCCTGAGATTAGCACGGAATAATTAATGCAATGTTTCCAGTATAGGCGATTGGGCAGGTGGCTTTATCTGAAAACGTTACATTCCTTCAATCATTCCCAAAGTTTATCGGTGCAGCGGTGCTCAACCACCTCCTATCAATAAAGCATGGCATCCAGTGATCCGACAACGCGACCGCTCAGTCGGCTTGCCTCTGCCTCCTCCGCGGCGCGGCCCGAAAGCTCGACGCCGTCGTGCGGGGCGAGGGGCGCCGTAATGGTGTCGGAGCCGATCGACCGGCTGTGGACGATCTCTCAGCTCTGAGACAGCCGCTGGAGACAGCTCAGCCTGGCGTCGCAGGCTGGCGGCTTACTACCTGCGGGCTGTCCGGCGACCAGGCGGGGGGTGGTGGGTCGTATCGCTCGGGCGCGCACCGAGAGCCCTCCGACAAACACCCGCGGCTTTCAGCCAAGCTTATTCCATATACTGGAGCCAAAAGGACCAGCTCCACACAAATTTCTTACCCTAGAAAGTTCTACATGTTTTTCCTGGTCCTTCATTGCGACATGCTCTTGATATGCTCTTGATACGCTCTTGATATGTGTAAGCAATGTCTTCACGCCGGAACCCTCCCTGTGACAAATCGGTGCATGCCAACAGCGAGTAAGCCGGAGGGCTGGGGATTCCGCAATTCAGCCCTTTTGCGATTGGATGTAGATTGAATAGGTTAAAGTGGATATGCTTGGGAGCTCAGGAATGGAGTTTTGTTGGTTGACGCATGCGATGGACATAGTCATTTGCCTGTGAAGCACTCTCAAGAGAATAATTGTGAGGCGCACAAATCATCGATTCCAAAAGTTTTGCAATAGTCCACGAATGCAAGAAGTGGAGAGACGATATTGGCAAATCAAAAACAACAAACGATAGATATACGAGACATAATCTGAGAATCAAAGAGGCGGCGAATCACCACAAAAGTAGCTCACAAAGCAAACGAAGATGGACGGCATCGAACGGCTCAAGGCGTTCTCCCCTTCGACCGCCTCAGCTGCTCCAAAGGCGGTCTGCAATTACTCTGATCCGCTGCGTGGCTGCAGGGAGTCTGGCCAGACCGAAGCGAGACAAAGGGACATATTTCAGCGGGGCAATCCGTGCCGGGCGGCTCCAGCGCTCGCGCCGCTCGTTCTCCCCTCGTCGCCCAGCCGAATTAGAATTTGGAATCGATGCCACCGAACCCGGCCGGTGGTGCTCCGAGCTGCTCTGGGGCTGCTGCGGGGGTGCCGACGACGCAGAAGCAAGACGACAGGGTAGGCAAGAGGCAGCACTGGCTGGTGCCTGGAGCGGTAGCGCGTGCGTATGTGAAGTGGTTGGATATTTAGACTCTCCGGTGGAAGGCGAGACGGCTTGCAGCGGATTGTGATCGCAAAACTGCGCATGACAATGCTGGTGATGACGGGGAGCGTATCCGTATGGTGTTTCAATGTTTCGTGCGATACGGTCGTCTGTCATGCCAACGTATAGAGCTCACGTCTTTCCTCGCAGTGTGGCATTAGCCTTTTGCACATGACTTGAAGGGACCGTGGCTGTCAAAGATACCAGGCTTGGCCTTGACTTGGCCAATGCAAGTCACTGGCAGACCAGCTCTGTGCATGGTTTTCATCAGTGTTGATAGAGGTTGCATTTGTTGTTACCCACGAGCCATTAATAATAGCAAGCAATAATAAAGCCCATTCGTACTCTGAGAGCCTTCACAGTCGTAAATGCAAACGCGAAATATGTTATCGATCTATCAGAGGAAATGCGACTGACGAATGAAATTACGTAAAGCTGGTGTGCTTCGCCTTGTGGAAAGGCTGTGCACTTAAATATCTGTCACCTTAACATATAGCTACCTTCTGTTTTTAGTGTAAGGCCTATGTACGATGCGTCACAGGATGGCATTCATCTGTTCATGGTGATTCATCTGTCCATGGTGGCCTCGCCTCAGCACAGTTCGCTGATCTGGGGCCTCAAACATCCACACGTCTCGCGGCCCAGCACCATTGCCGTCTGGCTACGTTGATTTTTGGTGGGTCAAAAGCCATTCCTTTTTAGTTGACCAGCGAGTTAAGACGCGCCGTCTGGGATAAGTATTTAGCTTTCCACGGTGGGACGCGACCCAAATACTTTGCATAAGTGGTCCGCCTTGCTGCTGTTTCCGTAACGCCGATGAAAATATATTCCTGTGCCGCCCACTTGGCTCTATAAGCTGCGGCAAACACAGCTATTTTCCATGGCAGGTATCCTGTCTTTGTGTCTGCGTTTAGCAGGCTGTTATTAACGGAAATTTAGCGTGTGCCGCGGCACATCAGTGTGACGGATGGACCCAGGGGAAGCGGACCGCCACCACCCGCCACAAGCGGACCGCTACCACCCGCCACAAGCGGACCGCCACCACCCGCCACAAGCGGACCGCCACCACCCGCCACAAGCGGACCGCCACCACCCGCCACAAGCGGACTGCCACCACCCGCCACAAGTGGACCGCCACCACCCGCCACAAGCGGACCGCCACCACCCTGGCACTCTGCGGCGGACCGCCACCACCCGCCGCAAGCGGACCGCCACCACCCGCCACAAGTGGACCGCCACCACCCGCCACAAGCGGACCGCCACCACCCGCCACAAGCGGACCGCCACCACCCGCCACAGCGGACCGCCACCACCCGCCACAAGCGGACCGCCACCACCCGCCACAAGAAGACCGCCACCACCCGCCACAAGTGGACCGCCACCACCCGCCACAAGCGGACCGCCACCACCCGCCACAAGCGGACCGCCACCACCCGCCACAAGAAGACCGCCACCACCCGCCACAAGTGGACCGCCACCACCCGCCACAAGCGGACCGCCACCACCCTGGCACTCTGCACGTGACGCTATTGTTTTCGAGACGGGTCTTGCCGGGAGGGAGCATGCATGTACACCACTCGTATTTAGTCGCTGGGATGGCAAATCGGTGGTGAAGGGGCGACGGTTCGTCCTGCGAGACGCGCGGCGCTCTGGACGTGGTGATTTTGGACTATCACGCCTTAGTATGCAGGTTAAATATCTGATGCGTTGAACAACACATGAGTTTATGAACTTGTTATGTACTTGTGACTTATGTTATGTAGTTATGTACTTGTGAACTACACAAGTACATGAACTACACAGTTCGTTTCAAATGTCCAGACAAAATCAACTGCTAGTTGAAATTAACATATTCCTAGCATACCAACATACACACGGGGCCCATTGCATCGAGTACAGAACATGAGCTGTAGGACAGTGTTTTGGATGTGGTCGATGTTGACTTCAACGCGATACAGAATTATGAGATTAAACTAATACTTAAAGCTGGGTCATGACGAATTTATGAAAATGTTTGCTGTCAAACATTAGACGTGCTTTTTCGTGCCTTATTAATTTCTTAACGACATTGTCCCAGCTGGCTGGTGCACACCAGACACATCGTGAGGTCTCAGAGATCATCGTGCTTGATGCAACTGGTTTACAGATCCTTCGCCAACACCCCACAAATGGTCAGCAGATCAGCGGTCATCGCGCCGTGTCCATTGTAGGTTGCACATCCGATCATCAGCTGTTTAACATACCTCTTTCCACTCTATGTAAAGCACGTCGTGAGCATTTCATGGTCCACACCACAAGCGACCTGTTTACTAGGTTCTCGCATCAGATGTCCGGGACATGGACACCCAAATTTGCCGCCATCTGGCACGCGTGTCACTACTATCGACCTCTCGGTCTGTGCACCAGCATCGGCCGGGCCGGTGGCTGGGGCGCCATGACGCCGCCGTCGCCCTGGCCCAGCGCGGCCGGTGGCCGGGGCGCCATGACGCCGCCGTCGCCCTGACCCAGCGCGGCCGGTGGCCGGGCGCCATGACGCGCCGCCGTCGTCTGGCCCAGCGCGGACGGTGGCCGGGCCCCATGACGCCGCCGTCTCCCTGGCCCACGCGGCCGGTGGTTGGCGCGCCATGACGCCGCCGTCGCCCTGACCAGCGCGGCCGGTGGCCGGGGCGCCATGACGCCGCCGTCCCCTGGCCGCGCGGACGTGGCCGGGGCCCCATGACGCCGCCGTCGCCGCGGCCCAGCGCGGCCGGTGGCCGGGGCGCCATGACGCCGCCGTCGCCCTGACCCAGCGCGGCCGGTGGCCGGGGCTCATGACGCCGCCGTCCCCTGACCACGCGCGGCCGGTGGCCGGCCCATGACGCCGCCGTCGTCCTGGCCCAGCGCGGACGGTTGGCGGGGCCCCATGACGCCGCCGTCGCCCTGGCCCAGCGCGGCCGGGGTTGGCGCGCCATGACGCCGCCGTCGCCCTGGCCCAGCGCGGCCGGTGGCTGGCGCCCATGACGCCGCCGTCGCCCTGGCCCAGCGCGGCCGGTGGCCGGGGCGCCATGACGCCGCCGTCGCCCTGACCCCAGCGCGGCCGGTGGCCCGGGCGCCATGACGCCGCCGTCGTCTGGCCCAGCGC